TCATAGCAAGGGCTGGGGCCATAGTTCTGCAGTAGAGCACTTGCCTAGCATGCATGTATGAGGCCTGGGTTCCTTCCCCAGCAGCCTGCCCTCCCCCCGAAAATGAACTCATTAAAAAAATTCATAACAACCCTGTGAGTTAGGTACTGTCACTAGCCCCATTTTACAGATGAGGAAAGCAAGTCACAGAGTAGGTAAGGGTCTGCCCTGAGGTCATTAGTGAGTGAGCAGAGAAGCTGGGACCCCTCCCAGGCCCACGAGCTCTGGCCCACAAGTGTTTGAAAGAATGCAGATTCATAATGGAGGACTCAGGGCTCTCGTTTCCAGATAGTTTGGCATCATTTTCTCAAAGGTGTCTGTATTTGTCAGTTTTCCTATGATGTGACAAAATATCTGAGAAAATCAACCTATAAAGAGAAAAGATGTACTTTGGCTTGTGGTTTCAGAGGTTTCAGAGGTTGGTTCCATTGTTTTGGGTCTGTCATGAGGCACTGAGGGAATGCCCTAGTGACTTGCTTCCTTACGCTAGGCCCTACCTCCTGAAGGTTCCACCACTTCCCAATCGTGGTCAGGATGCCAACTAAGCCTTTGGCACACGGCCTTTGGAGCACATTTAAAATCCAACCATTGCACTATCCTTCTGCCTTGGCCGTGCACAGGCTCTCTCCTTCCTTGCCATTTCCAGGGACTCTCCCCATGGGTCTCTGTGGGTCAGTCAGGAAATCCCTCTCTGTGTGTTATTTAATTCCATCCTGGCCATTACTATTCTCATCCCTGTTTTCCAAATAAGCATATAAGTAGCAGTGAACAGCAGACAAATCCAGGTGTCTCCACTACCCAGCTCATATCCTCATGGCCACCTAACCCCCACTGCAAAGAAAGCTCTCTCCACAATAGAAAGCAAACAGAGGGGCTGGCAGAGTGGCTCCAGTGGTAGAGCAAGGATGAGACCCTAATTTCAAACCCCAGTACTGACAAAAAGTAAAGATAAATAAATAAAAGAAAGCAAGCAAACAGAGGCAGAAGGAGAGGTGGAGCCAGGAATACCGCCTGGCAACCCCACATTTGGAATCAGTGTTGGATGAGAAGCAGGCTACTTATGTAGTGTTATGATATCCCCCCATGAGATTGTCGTAAGTTACAGAGAAACTCAATAGCTTTCCTATGGAGAACTACCTGGAAAACACCACCTTCTGCAAGTAACCTGAGTTGCAACACAGTTGTAGGACAAACCAGTGTGGCATTCCTCCTTGTAGGACACTACCTCACTTTGGGCTGTTCTGCCAGTTTGAGGATCCTCCAAATTCATATACTGAATCCCTTATCTCTGGTACCTCAGAATGTGACTGTATTTGGGTATAGGCCTTTACAAAAGTGGTTACGTAAGTTTAAATGAGGCCATATGGTGAGCTCTAATCCAATACAACTGGTGTCCTTAGAAGAAGAAATTTGGACACACACAGGGACACCCAGGGTTCATATGTACAGAGAAGAGACCACGGAGGCCATAGCAAGGAGACAGCCATTTACAAGACAAGGAGAGATGACTCAGAAGAGACCAGACCTACCACCACCTTGACCTTGGACTTCCAGCCTCCAGAACCATGGGAAAATAAATATTTGTGGGATTTTGTAGTGGCAGCTGGAGCTGGCTAAAACACTACCAAAAATATGTAATCTGAATCCAATCAGGGGAAATACTGGGCAAACCTACACTTTGAACCATTCTCAAAAAGCAAACCATCAAAAGTATCAAGGGCATGAAAAATAAGGAAGACAAAGGGACTGTTGCAGGTCAGAGGACCCATGGTATTGGATTGGAAGCCAGACTAGAAAAGCACTTTTCTCCTTCACTATAAAAGTCCTTATTAGGACAACTGCTGAATGGTGAGTAAGGTTTGTAGTTCAGAGAGGTGAGTTCATACCAGTGTTAATTTCCTGATTATGTTATTTTACTGTGGTTATTTGCTTTTTCTTATTTTAAGGAAATATACATTGAAATAATTATGGGTAAATGGGAACCAGTTTGCAAGTGACTCTCAAATGGTACAGAGGAGAATGTGTGTATGTGTGAGTGTGTGCATGCATGTGTGTGCACGTGTGTGTGTGTGTGTGTGTGTGTGTGTGTGATACTCAGAGAAAGAGAACTAGAGCAAATGTGAAAAGGTAAGGGTTAACATCAGAGGAAACTGGGAGAAAGTTATATAGAAATTCTTTTCTGTAAACCTAAAAAACCTGGCATTACTTTAAAGTAAAAAAAGTTTAGAGGCGGCCAGGCAGATAGTTCAAGAGACCCTACCTCAAAAATACCCAACACAAAACAGGGTGGTGGAGTGGCTCAGCAGTAGCATGCATAATTAGCAAGCATTAGTTCCTGAGTTCAAACCTCTGTACCAGCAAAAAAAAAGTGTGGGTCTGGGAGTGTGGCTCAGTGGCAGAGCACTGGCCTAACATGTTTGAGGTCCTGGGTTCAATCCCCAACTGTTCCCTCCCCCCTCAGCCCCCCCAAAAAAGTGCCAGGTACTGGCTTAAAAAAGTTTGAGACACTTTGTCCTTCCAGGAAAGCCCACCTCACCTTCTGACTTCATCTTTCCCCCTCCACTCCCAGCCCTTCTCCAGCACGCCCTCTTTTGTTTTTTTTTTCTTTTGGTGGCAATACCAGAGTTTGAACTCAGGGCCTCACACTTGCTAGACAGGCACTCTGCCACTTGAGCCACTCTGCCAGTCCTTTTTTTTGTTGGGTATTTTCAAGATAAGGTCTCATGAACTATTTGCCCAGGGTTGTCTTTGAACTACAGTCCTCCTAATCACTGCCTCCCAAGTAGCTAGGATTATAGGCATAAGCCATCGGCACCAGGCCAGCCCTCATTCTTGAAGTCATTTTCCTCCAGGAACACCTCCACAACCCCACCCTGGTCGTTGCCTCTATCCACTCTTCCCTGGGAGGCACCCACGTTCATCATTGTCAAGCACCAAATCACTGCCACATGCTAGTTAATATACCCATGATTGGCCTCTTTCAGACTTCCTGACCACCCTGCTAGGTAGGCAGCATCTACCATCTGCAACATGCAGAGGGGAAACCCAAAGCTCAGAAGCAATGATGCATCCCTGGTAGGGATGCTATAGGGGCTGGATTGGAACCAGCCTATAGCTACCAACCACGTGCTCTCCCAGCTGTTCCCAGCGCTAAGGACTCATGTTTCCAGAATTTGCTGAGCTCAGATTCTGCGGGGCTCCAGGTGAGGCACTTGCATGAATTAGTTTCCCAAAAGAAAGGATTGGGATAACCCTCAGAGGATGGGGGAGCTATGACAGCTGGTGCACTAAGGACTTGAAACAACCAGGCCTTAGTAAACATTGCAACCTGTGAGCCATCCTTGTGTTAATAGATGTTGTCTCTTAGAACTGTTCTAGATGAACAGGAAAACTAAGAAGACAGTAGAGTTCCAGTGGACCCCACACTGTTTTCCCTGTAATTAACAGCTTCCTTTCCCTCCTAACAACATCTTATTACAGTACATTTGTTACAATAGTGAATGGATTGGATACAATGGATACATTGTTGTTAGTTGAAGTCAATTTCTTTAGCTTTTCCCAATGTCTTTTTCTCTTCCACCATTCCATCCAGGATGACCCCTTAGTTCATTTGTCATTTTTAGCTTGAATGCCCCTTATCCAAAATGCTTGGAACCAGAAGTGTTTGGATATCGAGATTTTTTTTGATTTTGAAATATTTGCATATTCACAATAAGATATCTTGGGGATGGGACCCAAGACTAAACTTGAAATTCATATACATTTTATGCACATAGCCTGGAGGTAATTTTGTTGTTTTTGTTTTGTTGTTTCTGAGACAGAGCCTCCCTTTGTAGCCCAGGCTGGCCTCCAACTCTAGATCCTCCTGCCTCAGCCTCCTGAGTGTTGGCATTACAGGCTTGTATCACCACGCCAAATTTTAAGTGTGTCTGTGTTTTGAATGTGACCCACTACAAGGACAGGTGTGGAATTCTCCACTTTTGCCATCATGTTGGAGCTCAAAAAAGGAGCGTTTTGGAGTTGGGATTTTCAGACTGAGGGTGCTCACCTGTAATAAATGGATTACCTGGCTTAGTTCTGGGGAGCCCTATTATTGTGGGAATCTCAAGCTGAGATATGGGATACTGAGGCAGTTTGGCAGGAAGCAACATTTATTGTGCCGGCACAGACTCAGCAGACTCGTGTCCAAAGGCTGAGCCCTGAGAACAAAGAGTTCTCCCTTTACATATCCTTGCAAGCAGGTTACAGAACAAAAAGCAAGGCTCAACCAACATATAGCTGCATGTGACTTCATTGGCTATTTTATTCCCCCAGTGCAATGTGACCTTCATGTTTGAATTCTTTAAGTTTTCTCTCTCTGCTTTGCCATCCCTTCCCCCTGCCTCATTATCAAAACACAGCCTATCTGTTTCTCTTCTGGTCCTCCTCCCTGCTACACTCTAAGGTGCTAGCAGTCTGATTGCTCACCTTTCCCCCCCACCTGTTATCCATGGAGAGAGAGCCTTGCCCCAGGAACTGAAAGGAAGCTACCTAGCCTTCAGTTCCCTGTGGGTCTGAGCTCTAGGGCAAGCAGAAGGCCTTGGACTGCTGTCTAGGCAGGAAGGAATGAGAAGGATAGTGGGAGAAGGGGTACCGATCCTGTCCCATAGCCCACTTGCAGCCTCCGCTTTTCTAGAAAGTTCCCTCCTCCCCCTAGGGAGCCACAAGCACTCAGGGAACAAGGTCAAGCTTTGGCTATAAGGCAGAAGCCAGTGATGGGCCCTGGGTTAGAGGCCTCCTTTTATGCCTCTGGGGTAGGAGTTTCACCATGGCCCCTGGTGGCCAGGCGGGCACTCCCCCAGGTGGACCTCCTTTGCCTTTTGAGGCTGCTGCTTGCTGCCTTCCCAATATAAGGCCTGGCCCTGGTCTGGTGGCAAGGTGGTAGGGGCTGTTGTGGGTGTTTGAGGACAGGAGATTTCATCATGGCCTGGGATCACTACATGACCCTGCTACTGCTGGTGGCAGCCACCCTGGGCCTGGGTCAGGGACCACATCCCGACTTTGGCCTCCAGCACAGATATGATTGTGGGGTCCGGGGCATGCAGCTACTGGTGTTCCCCAGACCAGGCCAGACCATCCTTTTCAAGGTGCTGGGTAAGTGCTGGCAGAAGGTCCGTCCCCTCCCAGGCCTAAGCTGCTGCAAGGATGGGGCTGGGCCTTCCTCTGGAGCAAGAGGAAGTGAGCAAGAAGAGCGAGAACAGGAGGGGAGGGGAGGCTTCTCACCTCCTCACCCCCTCTCGCCACACAAAGGGGTATCAAGGGAGGAGAGTTGCCCAGCTCAGTCTCCCTGGCCACCAGGGCAGTGTCTCCCACATCACCGTGCACCTGGCCATCTTGTTGAGAGGCAGGTCCTGACTCAGGCTCTGCATTTCGACCCACACCCCACTGAGGCGAGGCTGCTGGCCCACAAGCCACTGTCTGTGGCTGGGACCTAATGGATGTGGCCTGGTCTGAAAAAGAGGGGTGTGGTTTTGAAATGAGACTCAGATCTGCTGGTCCTAACCTGTGTGCTTTTGGGCAACTGACCTGACCTTGCTAAGCCTCATCTGCAAGGTGGAAAAGGTGACCCCCACCCCCACCACCAACAACCTTGCCATGTGCACTGAACAGGAATGCTGGCCCACCCCAGAGGGCACCCTAGCTGTTCAGGCTAACAAGGTAGGTGAGCACCTGGCAGGTGACTGTAACAGCCAATTAATGTGGCAAATGAGCTCAGTTGTTTCTACAGAAGTCAGGGCTGGAACCTTCTACCCCTCATTGTGTGCATCTAATAAAGCTCACACACCTTCAGACCGCAGCTGCCTCAGCCACAAGATGAGTACAACTAAGCTTAAAGAAATGTTGAGAAGTGCTCAGCCCATTCCTAAGACCTAAGGGTCCTCTTACACCACGGCTTTGTGCCAGCCTGCTACTGTGCTGCCCCCAGAGCCCTAACTAGACTCACTTGTCCTCTTACAGAAGTAGAAATTGAGACCAGAATTGGAAAGAGATTTGCTCAGGACCACACATGGCAAGCTCATAGCCAAGCTAGGCCTGGAATGGGGTCTCCAGCCTTGTGCATGGGAAGTCTTTTCAGCTCTTCAGGAACCTCTAGCTCCAGCCTTCAGCACCCCTGTGCCTTCCTCCCCCTCCCCAGATGAATTTGGGAACCGATTTGAGGTGAATAACTGCTCCATCTGCTACCATTGGGTCACCTCTGAACCCCAGGAGCCCGCCGTCTTCTCTGCTGATTACAAAGGCTGCCATGTGCTGGAGAAGGTAGGTGCAGGTCGCTGCTCAGGGGCCAGCTGGGAGAACTTGTCCTAACACAGCCCCTCTTTGGCCAGGGGAACAGGAGCCCAAGATTGGCTGTGAGTGGGTGGGTGATGGAGGCTAAGTTCCAGGACCTACCACAAGTCCGGCTCCTTGCCTGTCAGCCCTCTCAGCTCTGGCCTACCCTCCCCTGCCCGAGGAGCCAGTTAACCTCACCAGTTTCTCTCTCTGACTCTCACCTGCAGGATGGACATTACTACCTGAGGGTATTCATAGAAGCTGTGCTGCCTGATGGCCGTGTGGATGTAGCACAAGCTGTCACTCTGATCTGCCCCAAACCTGACCACGCCTGGACTCTGGACCCTCCCCTAATACCACCTACCATGTCCTCATCTTCTACCCCTCATACTCTTCCCCTCCATTCCACCTCCAGCCACTCCTGGACTGACTCTGGCTATGCCTTTTCTAGTGCATTGTACCCAGAGCACAGCTTTGTCTACCCAACTCCTTCACCATTCCTGGAACCTGGACCTGCCCTCTCCACTCTGCCTCAACCCCAGTGGGGCACGACGGGACACTGGGAAGCAACAGAGCCTTATTACATAGGTATGTAGGGCTTCTCTGTGCACTTACCTTCTGCGTCTAGAGCCTTTGGGCCCTAAGAAGCCATTTCCTCACCTCCCTGTCACAAACTCTAGGTACCCATCTATCCCAGGAGCAGTGCCAGGTGGCCTCTGGGCACATCCCCTGCATGGTAAGAAGTAAATATAAGGAAGCCTGTCAGAAGGCCGGCTGCTGCTATGACAACACCAGAGAGGTACCCTGTTACTATGGCAACACAGGTACAATCTCCCACACCAAGTGCAATCCTGCTCCTCTGGATCCTGACTCAGCAGAAGAGGTGCCCCCTTCAACTGGCTGAGATCTCTCATGTCCAGTCCAGGAAAGCCAAAGTGGATCACAGATATCCTTAGATGGAGAACTGCCTGCCGCAACTTGTCTTCTAACACTTGTCCCAGGGAACTGTCACAGATCTATCTTCACATAAGCCCTGACCTTTAGATCTGAAACTTCCTGGTTTGGATGATAAATCATACAGTGACCTTATTTCTAAGGTGTATTTCAATCCTTTTGTTCCATGGAGGAGAAAAATCAGTCCATAGAAAAATCAGCCCAGGCCAACACTGGCCTTAAGTAGGGGCAAGAAAGTCCAGGACTTGTGATGCCTAGGCCAACTGGAAGCCACTCAGCTCATTACCCATCTCTGCTGGATGGACACTAAGCCCCAAGTCCCTGATCTACCTTTTGGTTCTGCCTTTGTTCCAGCCACCATCCAGTGTTTCAGAAGTGGCTACTTCATCCTGGTCATGTCCCAAGAAATGGCCTTGGCACACAGGATCACACTGGCTAATGTCCACCTGGCCTACGCCCCTACCCGCTGCTCTCCAACCCAGAAGACAAGAGATTTTGTGATTTTCCATGTCCCTCTCACCCACTGTGGTACCACTGTCCAGGTAGGAGCAGGACGTGGGCTAGCACCGAGTCCTTCTCCTGGGAGGGCCTCACCGCTGTCTCCTCCTGCAGGTGGTCGGCAACCAGCTCATCTATGAGAACCAGTTGGTGTCTGACATTCATGTCCAAGAGGGGCCACAGGGTTCCATCACTCGGGATAGCACCTTCCGGTGAGGAGGGGGAGCCCACCTGGGCCAGATGTGAGCCTGGGGTGTGGGGGAACACAGGATGGCTGAGGACAGGTTTTGGAGCCAGCTGGGACAAATCCACACTCTGCTCTTGCCTAATGTATGACCTTAAATGAGCTCCTTACCTCTTTTGGTCTCCCCTGCAAGGCTGGGGCAATGCCCATCTCAGGGCCGATGGGAGCACTCAGTGCTCTGTCTGTGCCTGGTGTGTGGGACACAGGAAGCGGCCAATAGTAGCTCCTGAGGGAGCTCTGCCTTTATCCCTCTGAGAACTGAGCTGGAACAACTGAAACATCCCCTTCCAGTCCCCTGGAAACAGCTGTTGTCACCTGCTGCTCTGGGGTCATGATGCCACAGATAAGGCAGAAGTTATCTCAGGCAGAGAATACCTTCTGAGAATGGTGGAGGAAGGAGCTGGGGAGAGACCCCCAGTGAAGAGGCTTCCTGGACCAGCTAGCTCAGGTGGCACAACTATCTAGGATACCAGTAGGAGGACACTAAGGGAAGCTTCTCTTGTCACACCTGGTTTTGAATTTCCATGCTACTGTGTGACCAGTGGCAAGGTGCCTAACTAAGCCTGTGTCCCCTGCTGGAGAGAGCCATGGGGTATATATATATGGACTTGGCACCATATAGACGCCCAGATTTCTATCCCCTTCTTCCCACCCTACTTTCCATGTGGGTATGAGGTGGGTGGATGGGTTTCAGGGTCTAAATGTCTTCTGCTTTTAAGCACAGAGGACTTACAGCCTGGGAACTGGGGGCACAGGTCCGTGTCCTGCTTTACACTCTTTGACTTAAGAGTTATGAGAGCAGTCAGAATTCAGCCTAGTAGCCAGGGATTCCCAGAGGGCCAGAGAAGGAAGAGGGAAACAGCTGTAGCCCATCAGGACTAAGCAGGAAGGCCCCAGAGACACAAGGAAGCAAAGGGCAAGAGGCCTTCAGACCTAGGAGCAATGGCTACAGCTACAAAGCACTGTGGCACCAGGCCTTCTGGGTTCAGGGTATGGGCTCCACAGGGAGTGTGTGTGAGTTGCTGCCATGGCCATGTAGCTAGTGAGGGAGCGAAACACTGTGTCAGGCCGGCTGCAGTGACAAGCAAGACCCTGATGTATCATCTTCTGGCCTCACACAATCCTGAGGGAGGAAACTGAGGCTTCTACTGAGTGACTTGCTCCTGCCCCCATACCTGTAAATACTAAGACTCAAGCCTAGGTCTGCCCACCAGACTCAAGCACCTCAAAGGTCAGTACAGAGCAGACATCAGTGGGTCACCAGGACAGGCCCAACAAGGTGCCATACCCCAAGATCACTGTTGTCTTGATCCTGCGTGCATCCATACCTACAGCATGACCTGGCACAGTGAGCTGGAACTGCCCTGAGAAGACCAGGTGGGTAGAAGATGGGGCGAGCTATTTTCACCTTGGTGATAACAATCGCCCTAGTGACTGCTTGGGGAGTACCCTTCCATCCTCTGGAGGGTACCCCATTTGTTACATCATCCACAGAGTTGGTACCTCCTTTTTTTTTTTTTCTTTGTGGGACTGGGATTTTGAATTTGGGACTTTGCACTCACAAAGTAGGTGCTCTACCATTGAGCCACAACTCCAGTCCATTTTGCTGTAGTTATTTTGCTAGGAAGGCGCTGCGCTCTACTGCTTGAGTCACCAGCCCACTGTGGTTATTTTGAAGATAGACACTCGAGAACAATTTGCCTGGGATGACCTTGAACCACAGTCGTCCCAAGTAGCTAGGGTTACAAACATGAGCCACCAGTGCCCAGCTGGTTTCTGCTTTATTAAGTATACCAATTGCTCTGATTCTGTGACTTTTCCCCCACCCTCTTGCTCTTGGATGACTTCAGGCTTCATGTCCGCTGTATCTTCAATGCTGGTGACTTCCTACCCATCCAGGCATCCATCTACCCACCCCCATCACCTGCCCCTGTGACACAGGTTGGTCCCCTGCGGCTGGAGATGCGAATTGCCAAAGGTAAGGCAATCCCTGCTGCTTTCTCTTCCTGTGCCCACTTCCTCCATGCACAGCCTGCCCTAGGCTCACAAGCCCCTCTCCCTGCAGACCAAACTTTTAGCACCTACTATGGGGAAAAGGACTATCCCCTCGTGAGGGTGCTTCAGGAGCCTGTCCATGTGGAAGTCCGTCTCCTGCAGAGAACAGACCCCAGTCTGGTCCTGGTGCTACACGAGTGCTGGGCCACTCCCAGCGCCAACCCCTTCCAGCAGCCTCAGTGGCCCATCCTGTCTGATGGGTGAGTAGAAGCAGGTGACTGAGCCACCTAGAGGGCCCCTCCTGCCCTGCTGCCTGCCTCACATCCCTGAGGAGGCCACATGACTCTCCTTCCTAGGTGTCCTTTCAGGGGTGACAGCTACAGAACCCAAATGGTAGCCTTGGACAGGGCAGAGCTGCCATTCAGTTCTCACTACCAACGCTTCACTGTTGCCACCTTCACCCTCCTGGACTCCAGCTCCCAGAGAGCCCTCAGGGGAGAGGTGAGGAGGACCCAGGTCCCTCGCGTCTGGCCCCATCTGTTGATTGGGTCACCAAATCCTTCCAGCACCCTTTGAGCTAATGTAAATATCCCAGAATGAGGGCTGGCTTTTACCAAGTGTCATGGACAGGAGCAGGTACAAAGTCTGTCAGAGAGACCTGTAAACAACTTGGGAAGGCGGAACGGAAGTACTGTGCCCAGCTACAATCAACCCTAAATCTAAATCAGTGGTTGTACTCTAGAGTGGCCTAGCTTCTGATTCTAAAAATGATAATGTGTTCAACTTCTGGTTTGAATTTTTTATAACCTCTCCAGACAGTAAAAGTGAACAAACCTAAGTGAAAACCTAAGATAGGCTTAGGTTTTCTACTTAACATACAAATGTCACCGTAGGCAACACACTATTGTACAAGTCTCGGTCAGTTGCACAATCAATCTGTTGCATAATGTACTCAGATCTATTTTTAAATCACTGTGTATTACTCCATCATATAGACCAATTCCACTAGTAAGGTACTGCTTAGGACACTTCGTTCTCATTGTCTGTGTGCTGTTTCCTGAGCCAAGAGACAGACACCCAAGGGTGGAACCTGCTGGTGCTATTATGTTAGGTCACAGCCTCCTGCTTCAAGTTTCTGGAAGCAGTAGTGACTTGTCTTCTCATCTGCCCCAGCCACTGATCTCTGGGGATTAGGAAGATGGCAGTCCTGCTGTCTGGTCAAGCCCTACCTCCAGAGAATGCCTTGTTGGCAGTGGAGGGGGAGGGAGTGGACGGCCTCCTGAGGCAGTGGTGGTGAGGCAGACTGAGGGCTGGGGCTCTCCCCAGTGCAGCAGTTCCTGCTCACAAGGTCTCCTCCTGCAGACATGGGCCCCAGATTGGGAGCACCTCTTATCTGGCAGTGTCCTTGTTCTCAAGTCAGCACTCCCAGGTTTCTTTTGCCGGCCTGGCTGACAGCAGCAGAGACTTGACCCTGCTCCCGGATCCCTCATCCCTACCTCAGTGCCTCCTGTCCTGAGGCACCAAGCCAGCCCTCTCCTTCATGTTCTTCTTCCCCCAGGTCTACTTCTTCTGCAATGCCTCTGCCTGCTACCCAGCAGGGTTGGAGACGTGCTCAACGGTGTGCAGTTCTGGGACTACACGTGAGTCTGGGATGGGGTGTTGTTTGTTCTCATTGGTCCTCGGGCTTCTGGGCCACAAGGAACTGAAAACAATGTATCACTCTTCCTGGTCAGGACGGCGACGATCTTCAGGGCACCACAACACCACTGGCAGGCCCCTGGACATCGTGAGCTCTCCAGGAGCTGTGGGCTTTGAGGACTCATATGAACTGCAGTCCCCAGGTACCAGGGCTTGTGGGTGAGCCCTTTAGGCCTTGGCCCCCTCTACGAGTAAAACAGGGACGCTTTGGCCATCATGAGAGCAGGAGACGGTGTAACCGCATTCAATGGGGAGCTAAGCAAAGATAGCCCTGGTCCCCTTATCTGCACAAAGGCAGCTTCCAGCCCGCTATGGTTGGAAGGTCAATTTGGAGGATAGTATGAGCCCAAGACCCTTCTATCCCCTTCTCTGGCAGGCTCCAACGGGAACTCCAACCTGAGGCCTCTGCTCTGGGTGCTCCTCTTGCTGCTGGCTATTGCCCTGGTCGTGGGGGTTGGTATTTTTGTGGGCCTAAGCCAGACCTGGGCCCAGAAGCTCTGGGAAGGCACCACTCGGTGAGTGGGCTCAATAAAACACTGTTCCAAACCCTGAAAACAGGTGTGGAAAAGTGATTTAGAACAGAATTGCTTCTTGTCCAAGAAACTGGCTAGAGCCAGCTGTTATTTCAGAACTGTGACTTCTATTGCAAATAGTCACACATCCATAATGACTGTATACAGTGGTCCTGTAAGATGATAATGGAACTGAGAACTTCCTGCCACCTGTGATGCCATCACCACCATAACATAGAACAGTGCAACACATTACTCACGTGTGTGATGCTGGTGTGAACAAGCCGGAATTGCTATACGTGTGTGTACAGGACATACAGTCACACATGGTACATAGTACTTGGTAATGACTATGTTGCTAGTTTATGTATTTCCTGTACTATGCTTTTGACCACTAGTTTGGAATGTACTTTTCACTGTGAAATAGCTCAGTTATGCCCACACATCTTGTTTATTAATCTTTTGTGTCAAGAGCAATTGATGCACTCCTCCTCGGTGTGTAAGGACTCCATGATATTCACCTAAGGAAGCAGCCTCAGCATTTTCTGACATCAGGCAACTCATCGCAGTACTTAATACATGTCCCAGCTTAGGTGGCATCTGTCTCCCAGAGCTGGATGGGGAGTCTTTGCCTCTTGGCAAGGAAAGTCCACATTCCAGGCTGAGGACCAGCACAGGCCAGGTGTGTGAGGGACAACTCATGGCACAAAGAACAGACACAGCTGGGAATCAAGAGCCTAGCAGGAACTAATACTCAGCAAGAGTTCTAGACTTTCCTCCCACGGAGGAGAGCACAGGAATTCCATTGTAGGACTGTCTTGCAGGTAAGGGGAAGCCAAAGTGCCCAGGGGCAAAGAGGTGGACCCAAGTTCACTCTTCATGGTCCCACACTGTGCCTCACAGCCTACCACTAAAGGACACTGGGCTATACTGTGACCATCAGCCTTCCTCCCATGGTCTCCCTTCTAGTCAACTGGCACAACTGAATGGTGGCCTGCTGCCGCCTGTCTGTATGGCCATCAGACTGGGTAGCTCCAGTCTGGCTTTTTTGTTGGCAGAGGGGAGGGAGGGTCAGCACACTTGAGTTTGCTAGGCAGGCACTCTTACCATTTGAGCCATTCTGCCAGCCCTTGTTTTGTGATGGGTTTTTCCAGATAGTCTCGTGAACTAACTATATGCCAGTGCTGGGTTTGAACCACCATCTGACCTCTGCCCCTGAACAGACTTACAGGCCCAGCCTGGCTTTATAGTTCAGTTTGCCATGTCTGACTTAGACTTTCATGTGACTCAGCAGAAAACTTTGCAGATGGACCCAGAAGGCTGAGAGAGCAGGATGTGGGGCTTAGCCCCAAGGGGGATAGGGAGAAGAATGTGGGAAAGAAGTCAGAACTCAAGATTCAGACACATTTCTGGGCCTCAAGTAGGGCATGAGTTTAAACAGCTGGTGCAAAGGGAACTAAGGTGTTCAGGTCAGGCCAGTGGACTTCACACACCACAGGGCTTCTCCACCCCACCCCTGGCTCTAATCAACTGGATCTTTTCTGTCTTCAGAGTATGGTCAGACAGACTCTCATGTCAGGCTGTTACAGTCTCTGCTGCTTACCCACTTTGTGATTTTAAGTGACTTACTGAACTTCTCTGGGTCTCAGCTTATAAAACTTATTCTCATTCTATAAATTTAGGAATATTAGATAAAATGAATTGATAAGGATGCTTAGACTAGTACACAAGAGCCAACATTTACTGAATGCTATCAACTACTAACTAGAATTTCTCTTCCTGCCCCAAACCTAATGTTTCCCTTGTTTTCGTTTGGTTGGTATGAAAAGCTTACAGGCCAAGATGAGGAGAGGCAGCAACTGTTGGCTTCAGGCTTTTCTAAGAGGCACACTGTGGCAGGGTGACCCAGGCACCTGCCACAGAAGTCCTGCCTTCCATTTGTGGCTACCGATGGCTAGTTCTGCCCAGCTTCCTGCTTCTTACACAGGAGGGCATAGGAATATCCTGCAGGGTTTGTGGAATTAGGGGGTATTCGTAATGGGGCTGGCTGGAGGAATGAGGCTGACTTGCTCTTGGAGATAGGGGCTCCAGTTCCATGAACGTCCTCTTACTCCTAAGGTGGATCTAGGAGTGGCATCATCTCTGCTTGAACTAATTAGAGTCACATTGTGACTTTAGCCTTTTTAAAAAAAGAACACAGGGGTAGATATCTTGCATCATCTATCATTTTTAATAGGCATATTCCCTGTTTTAATCAAGACACATTTGCTATTTAGAAGCCTGTTATGGATAACAAGCACTGAGCACAACTTGTTCAACATCTACTTCTTTGTATACTATTTTCTTAAGACTCACAGGTAGAACTACTGGGTCAAAAGCCACATCCTTCCGATGGCTGGGCTCTGGGACGATGGGTGCCTGTTCCCCCACAAACCAATATCACACTAAATCTTTGTCTATCTCAGTGGCAGAAGGCAAGCAGCATTAGTCTTCAAATGGATCTCCCTGATTAGAAGTTATGCACTTTCACAGCCACTTGTATCTTGCAAATTACCCTTCATGGTTTTAACCTGTCCTCCATTTATTTCCTTGTCTGTAAAGAGCTTTCACCAATCAAGGGATCAATATCTTCCAGTTCCCATTGATCAGCAACTGGCTTTTGTGTTTGAGATAATTATGTCACTGAATTTTTTTCCCTGTCTTTGAATACAGCAAAGATCTTCCCCTGCCCTGCATAATCACAAAACTTGTGTTTGCTTTTTTAATGTTCCACCTGTGAGACGCAATTTTTTCTTTTCTGGTGGTACTGGGGTCTGAACTCGGAGCCTTGCACTCGCTAGGCAGGCATTTTACCACTTGGGCCCTCTCTCCTACTTTTAAATATATGTAGGTACATGATTTTTTATGGCAACTTTGTAACTGATGCTTAAATTATACAGAGGTTTTCTCAACACATATCAAAGGATTCTGTGTTCAGAAACAAATGTGAAAAACACATGAACCATTAAAGTAAGTTCACTGCAGCATGAGGTTCCCCATGCTTTCACTGGAGGAAGCAGTCTAAGCTTTCACTTTCCTAGATACCAAAATTTCACCTGAATTTTGCTCATCTAAAACTTCTTCCCTGCTGGCGGGAGCAGGCAGCACTTGGATAATGTGACAAGCTGCATCAGACCTGATGGGGATGACAGCAACTCACTTCCGCCCTGTGGCAGGAAGCAGAGCAAGCAGCTCATGCCCATCAGGTTTTGTCTCTTCCTGTCTTTTAGGCCACAGCTACGTGAGACCCAAAGGGATCCCTTACTCTCCACCTCCCACATACCCTGCGCACTAAGATCAAATTAATTTCACTGCAGGTGCTTTGCTCTAAATAAAGGGGGGTGAACACTGCAGAGCTTCAGTTTAGGAGTTAACTCCTTCAAGCGTGACTGCTACCTCAGCATTCCTGCGGCAGTGTTTCGTGTGAAAATGCCACTGTGCTCCAGCAGTGAAGACCAGACCCTAGGTCAGTCTTTGGAAGTAAACAACTGAGATGCCAGATTATAAATATTTTTAAATGTGCTTAAGTCACTGTTGAACTCACATGAGGGGGAAAAAAGGCATGTAGATAGGACAAAAATAAAAGCAAAAACTCTGGGAAGTAAAACTAGCTTCTATTCTGGGAACTTCTACAGAATCCTGGAGACCTTGACATTCGGCTTGGATGAGCACAGGGACTCCAAATCAAGCCCAGAGACTGCCAAAGGTGAAAAAGTCAGGGTGCGGCTCTTAAGAAAGCTGGGCCTCAAAGGGCTGTCCTCAGAGCAAGGTGAAGGGGAATTACAGCTATTGCATGAAAGGGACAGCACCATAAGGAATCTTACCTATCTTCATCTTCATGGACTAAAAAGGACCCCTTTCCCCTTTCCTCTGTGTGCAGTCCAAATTGTTAGTCTGAGGAGAAAGGGGAAACCCTCAAAGTTCAATAAAACCTCAAGGGCTGAATTCAAATCCTGTTGGAAAGAATGTCATGGTCAGTCAGTCTCAAAACATTCTTACTGATACAGTTACAAGTCACAACCAGAAATCAGGGAGAAGACAAGGCACAAACTGGGACACTTTACAACACTTTATTGACAAAAGGATTATTATGCAAAGCATATGTATTTTTTAAGTGCTACAAATCAGAAAAAGACAACACAAAGAAACAGGCCAGGGGTACAATAGGCATATCACAGAATATAGACTCGAATGTTCTACACGTGGATGAAAAGATGCTCAACCTTGAGCCAGGGATATAGCTCAGTGGCATAGCACTTGTCTAGCTAGCATTGTGGGGATGGGAGTACAGAGGAGGGGAGAAATGTTCAACCTCAACAATAATCATGGATGTGAAAATTAAACTGCAAGGTACTATGATACACCACTAAATTGGCAAAACTTAAAAGATCAGAAAATACCAAGCGTTAGTGAGGTCTGGAGACAGCAGCACTTGGTCACTATTAATCAGAATGTCAACAGGCACACCAACGTTGAAGCTAGATGTCATGACCTAATATTACAGTAAGTCCGCTCTTAGGTTGGTATCCTAGAGTAAACCTTACACCAGAATGTTCACAGACTTTGTTTATAATAGCCAAAAAATGATAAAACTAGAAACAATTCATCTGTCCATTATCAACAACAGAACATGTAAATGCATTGTAGTATATTGCTACAATGGATTTTTACAATGAACGAGGTAAGGGCTAACCTTACCTTACCTTATCCAAGGTTTTTCCCTTGCAGTCTGGCCTCCAGAAAGAGCTGACCTTTTACAAGGGCTCCATAGAATCCCGCCATTGCCAAGCACCCCCTGCAGGTATTACTGATCAAGTGTAAGGCTTGGTCCCCAACCCCCTAATTATGTCAGAGGAAGGTCTGGGCTTCTCCATGAACTTATTGCAGTGGATCCTGCTGTGGGTTGGCCACAACAAATAACTGCAACAGTAACATCTGGACCCCAGATCCCTGACCATATCAAGGGGAAGAGCTTGTAAGTACCACAGGACACTGGTCCCAGCGAACACTGTCCTGGAATGCATGGACCAAGCAGAATCACACCTCTAGGTGTTCCCATCTCCACAAAACACTTACCCAGCAGCCTGGTGTGAGATGTGTGGCCATTTGCCTTTGCTTACACAACAATGAATGAACTACACTACGTGTTAATACAGATAACTCAAACAGTATTGAGGCAAATAAAAAGATACTGAGGGGTGAAGAGGATGGAAGTGTTAATCAAACACACCAAATGCTGTTTGAAAAAGGGGGGAGGAAAATGGAAGGGTAAGGGAATACAATAGAAGAAGTGAACTTGTGCACACATCTATGGAATTATCACAACGAAACCCCCTCATACTATCAATGTACGCTAGTTAAAAATTAAAGAACAGTACTGAGTAAAAGAAAGCAGACAGAATGATTTCATTTACACAAAGTTTAAAAATCAGCAAAAAACTATAGGAGGAAAATTATACCAAAAATCAAAGCAATTAGCAACACCAACTTCAAAATACTGGTTTTCTCTGTGTAGGAGAGGGAGGGTTATATTCAGGGAATATCACACCTAGAGCCTCACTGCGTTCTTTGGCTGGTGGATACAAGGGTGTTTCTATTCTTTGTATCCTATTCTTTTCTATTCGATTCCATTCTCAATGTTATTATTGGTATGTTTTAGATATTATATATGAATATTTCACAATTAAAAAGTTTTAACATGTTAAAAGATCTACAAATTTTGAAAACCTCAGAGCAGGAGGGATCTTAGACTTCACAAACCTGCCATCTCATCCCTCCTTGCTGCACCCCAGGTCACTGGCTCCTTTCTTACACCAGCCACCCCTAACTCCATTCCTCTGCTCTACCTCGGGAACCTCTACTTTTTCAAGATTGTCTTGTACCACTTCCCTCCAGATTTACTAGGTTTCAAACCAGCTGTACCCTCATGTCCTCTGTCTTGGCCCTTCTTAGAATTCCAGTGTCCTGGCTGTGTTCTGCACATTCCAGTCTCCCTGCCTAAATTTTGTTCCAGCTCTTTTGTGTCCCCACAGCTATAGGTTTATGGATAGAGAAGGCAGTCAGGCCAAACCTTTACATCACAGGTGTCAAGAACTGAGGTCACCAAGAAGCCAAGAAGTCAGTGTCACTGACTCCAGCATAGAGGAGCAGGGGAAAAGTAGCCAACATTTACTGAGTGCCTCCATGTGCTCTCTACACCTGAGTTCACCGACAGCCCTATCAAGTAGGCTTTATAAGCTCATTTTTCAGTACAGAAACTCAGAACAAAGACATGGCACAGAAAGCTGCAGAGCTGGGATCAAACCTGGGCTTCTGACTCAAGAGCCTGCGCTCACCATAACCCTATATCATAGAGCTGTGGAGGGGGTAGCTACCATTTCTGTCTCAGCTGATGAGCTGGTAGAGCACCTTGGTCTCCTAAGGCCAGAAAGTTAAAAATCCCAGCTCCACGACTTAACAGGATGGCTTTAAGCCAAGGTGCTTGAGTGTTTGCTCATCTATGGAATGAGACTGACACCACCTACTTTGCAAGGTCATCTGTGGCACTGAGGAGCTCTCTCATGGTGCCAGGTTATTGGGGAGACTCCTGCAACTGTAATACCCCCAGGTGACCACCTGGGTTAGTGCTCCAAGTATAAGCAGAACAAAGTAGATGCTCTCTCAGCTGAACAGCAGCACTGGGACATGAGATTTGATCATCAAAAGGCACAAGTGCACATAGGCCACAGGACAATTGATTCCACCACCAAATGACTTCCCTTTGGACACCTTGGCCTACTGACCACACCTGGCCCTAAATACAGGAACACTATGGTCACTGACGGCGTGGGTCCAGAAAGGACAGGCTCTTTTAAGATCCTTCCCAAGGATAACCTACCAAACACAATTGTGTTCAAACTCTGGAGATGTTTGGCAGAGGTGAAAGCTCTCAGTATATTCTCGCTGAACTAGCTGAGTCTACAGCCACCCGGCTTTTCTGCACCAAGGAAGGAGAAAACATGGCCGGGGTTTTGGACTGAGCACAGGGCTGAATCTCTCCATCTGTCATTTAGTAACAACGGGACATGAGGTAAGATGAATGTCAGCAGTGAATACATGGTCCTGCCCTTGAGATGACAATTTAGCTAAAACAGACAAATACATCAACACCTTCAAGGTAACATGGTGAGTTATGCTGAAGGTGTGAACCACGGCCTCATAGGGAGGTCACTCACCTGGCAGGGTAGGGATGGGCACTAAAGGCTTTCTGGAGGATTGGGAAGGCAAGACTCCAGGGAACATATAGCAGTAGCCACAATTTAAAAATATATAGCATTTATTATGTGCAGTCCCTGCTGTGAGCATTTCTCATATTCACTAAATCCTTATGCTGTCTCTTGTAAGTACAAGATCCCCATCTTATGAAGAAATGGAAAGAGAAAGTAATCTGCACAAGGTCCCACAGCTACTAAATGCCAGAGCCAGAATCCAAAGCCAGAGTCTAGTTCAAGTTCACAATCCCAATCCCACCCTGTGCACAAAGAGGGCATGAAGTCCCACGAGGTGTGCCTGGAACAAGAAGCTACTCAGAGTGCTGGACAGCCCACGGCAAGGATGCTTAGAATTAAATGTGGGGCTGGAGATGTAGCTCAGTGGCAGAGCACTTACCTAGCATGTACAAAGACCTGAGTTCAAATCCCAGCACCACATACACCAAAAAAAATTAAACTTGAGAATGTATGTAGTATCTGACACACAGATACTATGTGATGAGAGGTTGATGGCTTGGAACAGAGGTGATGTATTTCAGGGACTTCTAAACCAAACATCAGGCTGCCAGAGGCCAAGACAGTGACATTACACTCCCACTCTCCTGGGGCAATGACTCAGAACTAGCTGGGATCAGGGGTGGGATTCCAGTCCCTCGGGGTTGTGCTATGGCCCCTCCTTTCTATGCACAGATCCACAATTCACTTCAGTTTTAGGTTGACCATAGTACCCGTCAACCTAAGGATTCCCCCAAGAACCTCTGTCCTTCAGTATCACTTAGGCAGAGAATACATGGTAATATCAAACACCAGAAACCACTCCATGGCTTCAGTGCTGTGCCAGCCCTGGGGGCCAACTTAGCCCCAGGCCTTGCTCTTAACCCTCACCCAATTCCTATGACTGTGCTCCAGCAAATAGCTGTTACCTGCTCACTTTTAACTCGGTTGTTGTCCTAATTCCATTTTAAATTTGTCCTGCCTTGGAAAACTGTGTAACCTCTCTCTTATTAAAATCGACATTTAAAGCCAGGTGTGGTGACACATGCTTTAATCCTAGCTACCGGGGAGGCACAGATCAGGAGGACTAAGGCTCAAGGCCAGTCTGGGCAAAAAGTGACCAATACCCCATCTCAATCAATAGGCCAGACATGGCAGTGTGCACTTACAGTCTCAGCTTCAGGGAGGCCTAGGTAGAAGGATCAAGGTCTGGGCCAGCAGGGCCAAAAACTCAAGACCCTAATCAAAAAATAACTAAAGCAAAAAAGGACTGGGGGTGTAGCTTAAGTGGTAGAGCACTCGCCTAGCAAGAGAGAACTCAGCTAACCTTGAGTTCAAACCCTAATACTGAAGGAAAAAAAAAGTAACTTAAAAATAATCATTCATTTTTCAAACTAGAATACCTACAACTGGCTGATATGTTAAACTAGTACAATCATACACTGAGCAACAGCTTCAATCACACAAAGCAGATGGGCAAATGATGGACTCAGAACTCAGATGTCCAATGAAGTGCCCTTTACAACAGTCAACACTAGCTGCACAAGGGGTGAGGTCCACGAACCATTAATAGGCACACACAGGTTAAGGCTTACCTACTCAAAAACATGAGGCAGCAGCTGGTCTTTACTGCAAGGCTTCCCAGGGCCTTCCCTAGCTACTAGGCACCCTGGTACCCAGGGAAGATATACCCCATTTATTTGCTCCCCTTCCTAGCACAATTTCTCAACTGTAACCACCTGTCTTCCCACCCACTCTGATCAGGCTCCCAACCCCAACATTCCAATGGACAGTAATTCTCAAGGGCACTGATGATCTTCCTGGGCCACATCCATGGTGACTCACCCTCAGCCACCATACTCCAACCACCCTGGTCTCCCTGTTCCACCACACACTTCACTTTTCCTAGCCTCAGACCCTTTCCTCCCTCTGCTTACAACTCTCCTTCCCATTGAGCTCCTTGTCCTTCCCTCACAAGCTTTTCGTGACCTCCTAATGTAAAGTAGCTACAGAACCCTACATTAATCCTCTCCACTTGACCTTTTATTATTTACTGTTCACTGGCATCTCCCCTGGAACCAGCTCTACCTCAACATATCAGCTGCCACAGCCAATAAAATCTCCTTTTTTATTTAAGCCAGTCAGGAACAGGTTTTCTATCACCTTGCAGCCAAAGAATCCTACTGACCTACTCACAGCTCCTCACCAGCAGGCCCATGCTAATCTTTCCTGCACTTTTCCTTCCCTTCTGGCCTTGTGGGATAAGTCAAGCACAAGTGCCTGGAGGCCCTGGAATCTGTCAAATGGCTTCGGGAGGGGAGTGAGAGAGGAGAGAGAGAACAGAACAATGAGCTTCCTGGCAGCCAGTATCCCACTGTATTCCCTCCCCTTGACCTTCCCTGCTCAGGTATAGACAGACACAGGAGGTGGCTAAATTTATTGTTTTCTTTTTTTAATGAAACTAGATCACTGCTTACAAAAACCTGCATAAGCCCTCATGCCCACCCCCTTCACAGTTCCCTTGGCTCAGCCTCCCTGTCTCACAGGAACTGAAACAAAGTGGGTATGGAACAGCCACCACCTCTGAACCTTTACAAGGTGACAGTTCTTCCCCGAATGTCCATTCCTATGGGGCCTGAAGGCTGCATGGATGAGGTGTTCCATGTCACCGTGGTTCTCAGGCCATCACCCAGACCAGAGTGAAATGAAGTGAATGTCCCAACCCATAGATCCCCCTCCCTCCCAGAAGACACCCCCCACCCCCTACCCCTAACTCTAACCCACTGGTGAGATGAGGCCCAGCTTCTGTGAGAAGGCACCGGACCTACAGGCTGTAGAACTTGAGGCTCCTGTCCATGCCAGTTGAAGCAATGAATTTGGCATGATGTCCAAAGGCCACCCCTGTGGTCAGGCCACTGTGCTCTGAGGAGAGATAAGAAACAGCTGTAAGATACCTTTTCCTCCTCTAGGGCTGAACACTGACCCTGAACACCATGGTTCTAATATACCCCAGTCGGTATTTATCACACTGCATGGTGCTACTTGTTTATGTTTTCCCATCAACTACACTCACAAGGGGCAGTGTTCTACTCCGAGCTGCTCACCACTTATCTCCAGCACCTCAGCACCTGCCACAAGACAGGTACTCCATTTCTCACTGGTGGGATGAATAAATAAAAGCATGTCAAGTCCCTCTTCTCACCTGAGCTTTCTGAGCAATTGCAATTCAGTTCAGGTGGAAAATGGTGTTTTATTGGTATGTTTAGTTGTAACTTTTTTTTTTAAATCTGGTGGGAGTGGGATTTTAACTCAAGGCTTCTTGCTTGCAAAGCAGGCACGCTACTGCCTGAGCCACTCCGCCAGTCCATTTTGCTCAGATTATTTTGGAGATGGGGATCCATCTTGAACTATTTGCCCAGGCTGGCCTCCCAATCTTAAGTCTCCCAAGTAGCTAGGATTACAAGCTTTGAGCCACCATCACCCAGATTAGTTCTACCTTCTTGCTAGTAACTGGAGTGGCCCATTAGCTAGTTCTAGCTCCAGGGATTTCAATTCCATGGGATGTGAACCACAGGTGGGGCAGGATCAAGGGCAGATAGGCTGACTGACCCTCCTCAGGACTCAAGATAACTCATGAACACCAGGGCAAATTGCTTCTAGATTTAGAATCACACCTAGAGCCCACAAGCTCCCCACAAAAGCCTACCCTGTGCCGCCACTGCTCTACCTAACTCAGATCCAAACCAAAACTCTGGGCCCAGTGTGGAGTTGAAACTAGTTGGCTACATAGTTAGGCCTTTACAAAGAGACACAGAGCAGGGCTCAGGAGAATACAGGGTGTGGAAGAAATACTTACAATCTTACTCGAAACTTGCTAATAAGGATGAGAATTTCATCAAAAGGACAAAATTCATCATCTAAGGGAGCACCAGGCACCCTACCATGCATGGCCACACACATCCACATCAGCAGCTGGCACACACTGCAAAGCAGTGCCAATACTTTTTCAGAGGGCAAGTCACACACCCAGAGTCACAAGACTAGTTCAAGACTAGAAATCCTCTTTGGTACTGTCTCAACCTCTCATACTTTTCTTCTTTAGCACTTCTAATTGCAATGAAATAAATGCTAGTGTTGGGACTGGAAGTGTAGCTCAGAGGTAGAAAATTTGTCTAGCATGCACAAGGCTCTGGGCTCTATCCCTAGCACTACAAAAAATGTTTTAAAAATGCTAAATCCCCCCAATATCTGACCTTCCTAACTAACCTGACAAAAATCTCCAACTGGTTCTGTATTATTCACTGCTCAAATCAAGTAAGACCCAATACTGAATGATGTCCATCCCTACTCGTACTGGACACTGCTCTAACCTGTGGGGATATTCTCATGCAAACCTCCAACAACCCCACGAGGTATGTAGTCATCATTCCCACTTTCCTGAGGCTCCAGAGAGATCATGTAACTTGCCCCTTACCAAGTTGGAGTGGGGGAGGAGTACCAGCACTTATAGGAAGCACTCTCACTCTCAAGGCCCTTTCTTTGGCCACAGTGCTCTAGCGCCCCAGGTAGTGAGCAAAAGCTTCCTGAGGAGCTGGGATGTGGCTCAGTGGTAGAGTGCCTGGCATCATGCATGAGGTCCTGGATTTTTTGCAAAAAAAAAAAAAAAAAGGCAGCCTGGGAAAATGGCCTCAGGAGCCCAGGGATGGTGATACCTGTAAAGTGAAGAATCTCCGTCCACTGTTTGCAGATGTAGATCTGAACATCTGTGCCTCCAAGTGCCAGGTAAGTACCACTCTGATCAAAGATCAGTGATTTCACCTGCCAGAACCAGAAAGAGAGGTTTCCCAAAGAGAACAGAAACTATGGAGCAACTGGGGACAAACAGAAGCAGCTGAGATTAATTCAGTAAACAATCAAGAAACAGGAAAGAGAAGTGAGCAAGAGCAATGGGGAGGGGCACACCTCAAAATTGTTGTCCAGCTGCAACGTCTTAAAGTTTTTAAGCTTGCGCAGGTCCCACAGCTTGACAGAGGAGTCGTCAGCTGCTGTAGCCAAGTAGTACCCATTCTCAGAGAAGGCAATGCTGGTAATGGGACCTGAGTGGCCAGGGAAGTTGGCCACATTGGTGCGCTCCTACAGTTGGAAGACGGGTAGTAAAACAGGTCACCTACTGCTCAGGAGAGGAGAGGAAAAAAAGGGGGCTCACCAAACTTTTACTTCTGAGAGCTGTGTCCTTGGGGAAGAACAACTAGCAGGAACAGCCCAACCCAGAGTCCCTAGCCCATTATCCAACACACCACACACACAGAGTCAATACCTCCCCACCCTCAGGACACCCCACTGGCCAGATGCCATCATCACATAATCAGCTCACCCAACCCTAGGCCTCAGATGGAGTTCTGCCATGCCCTACCTTTAAGTCCCAGATTTTGATCTGAGAGTCCATGGTTCCTGTTCCAAAAATGAGTCCATCAGGGTGGAACTGTGCACAGGTGAGAGCTGTGGAGAGGGTGAAATGGATGTGTGGTCAGACTCCACCAGGACAGACTAAGAGCAGCCAAGCCAAGCTCCTGTTCTTCACATTCCTCACTGTGCCCAGCACAAAGCCTGGCACTAGGCAGGTGCTAGTGATAAATGTAGTCTTTAGAAGAATAAGTAAATGACTTAAAAAAAAAAAACAAATAAAAGAGCCCAGCGACTCTGATGCAACTTACAGCAGCCAGAGGTCTCATCAGTCACCTTGGTGAGCACACGCCCTGTCTGGATGTCAGAGAAGGCCCAGTACTAAGAAAGAGAAGCAAAGGAGCCAGTGTGAAAGGGAGTCCCCAGAGCCTATGGCCTTCAGGAGAGACCATGATTCAGCAGACCCAGCCTGGGATCACACCTGGTCATCAGAGGAGCTCAGGAGATAGTCCCCAGTAGCATGGAGGCTGAGGCCTGTCACAGCGCTCTCATGGGCCCGAACAACCTGTACACAAGAGGTGTTCGGGACTGACCAAATTCTGATAGTGGCATCTGGAGAGGCAGAAAACACCAGTTCCTAGAAGAAAATACAAGAAGCAGGTATCAAAGACTGAGAAGAGACGGGCTGAACAAGTCTTTCACCTGGGGGCATGGGTGGCCACAACTACCAGCAATTACTTCTCCTTTCAGCCCTTCCCTGCCTGGGTCACCCATCCAAACAATGATGCCTAACAAAGCCAACCTGTAATTATGGTCAGATGACATCAGGCCTTGGGGAGGCCTCGCCACCTGGTGGTAAAGAGAGTAAGAGCAACAGATACCTATTTCTCACCCTACTTCCTACACTCCTGATAAATGTGGCTAGTATAATTGAGGTACTGACTTTTTAATTTAATTTGCCACATGAAATAGCTACTGTACTGGATGATATGGGTCTGAACAGCACTGTGTCTGGAAAGGGCTGTAGGCTATGCTCCAATGTGCCCCACTCTTCTGGATTTCAGGGGTAAATCCCTTTTCCAAAGGACCTGGGGCAGAGGAGAAACCTCACATAGTATTCTAACAAATTATTTTGGTTAGTTAGGACCGTAACAGTCATAAGATAAACACAACTGCCATCTTTTATTAACACAATTTCATAAAATACAACTATTAACACCAAGTAAACAGGAAAATAGTGCTTTCGATTTGAATTAAGTTTAATTAAAAATGCCATGTTCACCGGGTGCCGATGGCTCATACCTATAATCCTAGTTACTTAAGAAACAGAGATAAAGAGTATAATGGTTAGAGGACAGGCTGAGCAAATAGTTCTTGAGACCCCCATCTCAAAAATACCCAACACAAAAAAGGGCTGGCAGAGTGGCTCAAGTGATAGAATGCCTGCCTAACAAACATGAGGCCCTAAGTTCAAGCCCCAGTATTGTCAAAAAACAACCAACCAAACAAAAAAGCCATTATTCTTCCCCAAGGTCAAGGGAGAGGCTAACTGCCAAGCACTATTGCTATCTTGTCCTGCAATCCCAGACCAAACCACCCTAGGCTTAAAACTCAAATCCCATGAGCCCTTTAATCTGGTCTGATGAGCTACCTTTATCCTGTAAACCACAGGTTTTCACTTATTTGAACCCACAACACTTTCAACAGTCAACATCAACTTTTGATTCTCTACCCCAGAGGATCATGGAAACATGAATGTATCTTCCTTGAACACCTGTCAGTCAAGATTGTGTTGAGCTCTGTTTTCTGTAGTTTACTTTATAAAAGCTGTAAGATTTTTTTTTCTTTTTCTAATTAAAATGTCTTAGTCTTAGTGAATATGTTTTATCAATATGCATTTCATTCCTCTACCTGGCTTCAAGACTGCTGCCCTAGGAGGCCTTCAAGAAGGGGAATGCCCCTGTTCCAAACACGCACAAAAAGGCCTACTCCTGAGAGCCAGAGCTTTCTCAACCCCACCACACCAAGGCAGCAGGGGATCAGGCACTAGTTACAGGCCCCTAAACCTCTGAAACAGGTCTCGGGACAAAAGGACTAAGGGTAGCCGTAAGAACTCCTTACCTGAGATGGGTGAAACACCACACTAGTGACCTTCTTGGTGTGGCCTTTGAGAGTAGCCAGGATTTGTTCAGAACTCTTATCGAAGACAACGACATTTTTATCTGCCCCACCTGGAGAAGACCCAAAGAAGACCAAAAATGAGTCAGGCCTACACAGAACCCTTTGTTGAAGAAGGTCCTTCTGACCCCAGTTTTATGAAATGGACCAGAGGCACCAGTGAGGATCTTGTTGGCCTAGACTCACCAGTGAGGATCTTGTTGGTGTCGGAGGGGCAGAGGTCCAGTGCAAGAATTCCAGGAATGCTGGCGCTGTGCAGCCCCTTTGCAGAGAAAGCCACACCAAAACCAATTATGGCTAAATCAAGGCAGGCCAGGAAGCCACATCAATCTCCAGTCATCCTCCCCAGCCAGAGAAACAAGACTGCCTTCTACTCCTTATCCTCTCAGCTTGCCTTTCTGCCTGGATGTGACAACTTGCTGACTGCATTACTAGGAAACCCAAAGCTAGGCAGAAGCCCTGACAACTTAGCAGCCAAGGCAATACATAGGACCAGAGCCCCAGGCAGCTTTCCACTAACTGCTCCCCATGCTAAGCCTCACTCCAGAAACCACTGTGGGGGGTCCTGTCTCTAAGTTAGAGGGACCCAGCCACTCACCACATGGGATGCCACCTGCCGGTATTTGCTAAGCTCTTCCGGCTTCACCAACTCCTCAGGCACAGTCTTCCCTCTCTGGGAAAACAAAAAGGCCCCCAAAGAAAAGCAGCAGTAAATGCAGGATTCAACTACCCCCATTTTCCCCAAGGAGCAAAGTGCCTCACACCAGGCCAACTCTGTCATCCACCTCTAGAAGAAGACTCACCTTCTTACGTTCCGTGGTAAGCACAGTGGCCTTGTCTTGCAGCTAGGGAAGAGAGGGAGAAGGTTTGATGTGAGATAAATGATCTTGCCAGGACAATACACACTGGATGTGGTCACATCCATGCTTTTACAAGCATCACCAAGAACATGCTATCTGCCAAGTTTATGCTAAAAGCTGACATGCTTATCTCTTTTACTTTCACCCCAACCCCATGAGGTGGGTGTTCATGACATTACACAGATGAGGAAACTCAGACCCAAAGAAGAGAAGTCACTTGCCAAGGTCACAGAAGTAATAAATGGCAAATGAAGACATGAACCAGGTCTGTGCTGTGCAGATGACAGCTTAGATGCTTGCTGACAACTTGAGCTGCTCGGTAAGATACTAACTATCAAACCCCACAAATTAAGATTCTGTGTGTGTACAACAGGGCCCTGGATTGGAACAGAAGCCCCGCTCTGCCTCTTTTCTGAGGTGTGTCTTTGAGTCTCAGTCTCAAATTCTTTATCTGTAAAATAAAGATGATTCCTATCCTATGTCTGGTAGGGAAAAACATGAAACATAATAAAGCAGTTTAATATCTGCAAAGAATTCCAGTAACAGCAAGATCTAAACATTGCATTTATCAGTAATTAAATCTTTCCTACAAGTCTACAAAGGACGTACCGTTATTCTCAGTTTAGAAGCAAGGGAAATGAGACGCAGAAGTACTGGCTAAGTGAGCCAAGGTCATAAAGCTTACAAGTGGCAGCACCAAAATACAAGTTCAGGCAATCTGGTCCCAGAGTTCATGCTCTGCAGCACTCCCCGCTCCTCCCCTCCTCCCCACTCCTCCCCCATGTGTGGGATTCTTATTTGCACTGGATCCAAGGCAGATAGTAAAAAGTGAGGGCCCATCAGCATCCCCTCAAGTGAGAGCACAACTTACCTTCTGGATAATCTCGGGAGTCATTCCCACCAGCTCACCCAAATCCATGGGCTCACCTGCACCCTACAGAAAAGAAAGATAAGGGTGAGAGAGACACAGACCACCAAAGACACCTGCATAAGGAAGGCTACATGGGCCACTGCCCACAAATGGGCTGCTGGCAAGGAAGGGGGACACCTACCACAACACTTGGTTGTGAGCTTGGCACTGCCTGGGGCACGATGAGACCAGCCTGTGGTTTCAGAGTAGCCAGAGCTGAGAGAAAAGATAATGTTAAAAATGGGACATTAGAGAACAGGGCCCACCCAGAGTAAGGGACAACAGGGAACAGGCTGCACCTTCTCGGGCAGCAGTGACCTCCTTGGTGAGACGGGCAATGACACGGCAGGCAGCATCATGCTGGTACAGCGCATGGGACAGCTCCTGGCGTGTTGTCTGCAGCTGCTGGCGCAGGGTGAAGCTGTGCAGCATGACTGCATCCTGGAAGAAGGAAAGGCCACTGTGAGGGGTGGGAGGGAGCAGAAGCATATGCAGTCAGCTCTTAAGAAGAGGGCACTGCCTTCTATCTTATGCTGAAATCAACCTGAGCTGCTCAGAGACCCAAGCAGACACCCCATACCAAATACCAGGCACAAAGAAAGGAGTGGGAGCCAGCTCTTTCCATCTCCTTCTCTAATATACCAGCAAACCATGGATGTAATGCCATCACCTCTCTAAAAGGCAAGAGTAACAATGCTGCCACCATTTATTACCTGCCCTTACTCTGTGAGGGAACATGTCAGACATTTCCTCAAGATTCATTCATTCATTCATATTTTAGATCACCTATGTACCAGGTGTTGCTCTCAGTGATGGAAAGAAGCCCTGGATGTGACAAGGCTTTTACTTTTACTCTATTTTTCATAAAACCTGGAGAAATAGCACTAATCTATGTTCTGTGGCCAGGAAAATAAGGACTAAAAAACTAAGCAACATGCCCAAAGTCACAAAGCTAATAAGCAACAGAGCAAAGTTTGGAACCTACATCTGCACGATTTCAACAACCAGGCCCCTCCTGTGCGACCATCCTGTCCCTTGAAAAAGAAAACAAGCCTGGATAGCTCAGCGGGAAGGCAATGGCCTGCCATGAGTGAGGGCCTGGGTTTGATTTCCAGCAGAAGGAAGGGAGGGAGGAAAAGAAGAGAGGGAAGAAACAATGCTCCATCCTTCCATCCCCTAGGTATAGTGATACATTCTCCTGAAATGTAGAAGACACTGAGTCTGTTCCAGGAACTCACCCACTCATCCTGTAAGGCTTTCAGAATGGCCGGGATGCTAGTGGCTGAGGGAGGCTTTGGACGGATTGGGTGAGCAACTGCCAAGAGAGGAAAAGCAAGTATGAGGAACCATAACCCAGGGAACTCTTCCCTTTCCCCACCTCCATTCCCTTTAATCGTTTTAAGAGATGTCATCGTCATCATTCCTCCACCAGACTGACTACACCTCCTACTCTCTCAGGCTGAGCTAAGATGGCCCTGGGCTGAGGGCTTCAGCAGGCACCTTTGATGTCAATGAGTTGCTCCTCTGAGAGAGGCTGGTTGTTGATAGGGTCTGTTCCATTCTCTGCAATATACTTCTCAATGAGCCTCCGCTCGTACACATGATTAGAGACAGGGGATACACAGGGATGCTCTGGCACTTCATTGGAGACTGCAGAAGAAAAAAGCAGGCAGTGAGTGTGGAGAGAAAAGAAACCTTGGGCCTAGGAGATTCTTCACCCCATTGGCCTCAACAAGACCATGCACCCTCACACTCAACTATTAGGAAGTAAGACATATGACATCAAGCCAGTTTAGTATTGGTCCCAAAATGCTATATAACTGGTTTCTCCATTAGTCTCCTGACAGTAAAAGTCAACAAATAATTACTGCACAACTATGCATGAGGCACCTACAGAGCAGTCAATAATCCCTGCCCCCTTTTATCCTGGTGGCACTGGTGCTTGAACTCAGGACTGTGTGCTGCTAGGCAGGCACTCTATCACTTGAGCCACATTTCCACCCATTTTTACTCTGGTTATTTTGAAGACAGAGTGTCACTTTTTGCCCAGGGAAGGCTGGATCGTGAGCCTATTTTATGCTTCCCAGTGTAGCTGGGATGACAGGCATGCTACCACACCTAGTTTTTTTCCACTGAGACAGTCTCACAAACTTTTTGACAGAGCTGGCCTCAAACCTCAGTCATCCTGATCCTAGCCTCCCAAGTAGCTAGGATTACAGGCATGAGCCACCACTGCCTGGCTTGCCCATCTCATTTTTGAACAAAAATGGCTAGGCACATGATGCCACTCAAATCTCTGCCATTCATCTCAGTCAGAAGTCTTAGACAGAGCATCAGACAGAGAAATTAGAAAGCGATGCAACAAACACTACAATAACAAACACTTACTGAGTGTTTACTATGTGCCAAGTCTAAGCACTTTGCAGAGATTAGATCCTGAACCCTTGAAGATAGAATTACAGCCTTTTCTCTGACCTCCAGTACAATGCACATGTCCGGCAGACATCCAACCAGATGAGAGAATGAGTGCATGAGTTCTGGGGCTCAGAAAACAACAGCCAAAGTGTATGATCTGCTGGGTACATTGAACTAACAAAGACTGGAAGAACTTTCTCCAGCCCTCCTGCCATTGGGGCTTTCTCTGAACTTCCCTCAACCATCAAAGATTGGCTCTTCCCAACAGGGGAGTGAAGGCCTCTTCCAAGCTCATTCTAACAATTTTTATTACCTGTAAGACTTTTTAATCGCCTAACAAGCCAACTTTCATTCACCACATAATTCTCTTCACACTCCCCTAAACTTGTGTGCCTCCTTAACTTATGTGTCACCATCCTGTCACCTCACCAAGCTCCTATTTTTTTCTGCAGGAGCAATATCAACTTCCCTTCTTGAAGTCTCCTGTCTTTTAGAACTCCTGTGCATATGTAACTAAGGAGGTAATGAAACCTGGCTTTTCTCTAGTTAATCTGTCAGTTTGTCTCATAGGACTCAACTCCTTAGAGGTGATGTTTTCCCTTCCCTACAAGAGGAAGGATGGTGCTGAGACATATAAAAGTGAGCTTCCTCAAGACAAAAATGAAACAATGCATGTGAAAATACTTTGCAAGCTGTAATTTCTTCATTGTGCTATTCCTTTTTCTGTTTATCATTTCCTTTCCTTCGTTCACCTCTTTAGATTAATGGAAAAGAGAACAGAGAAAGGATCGGAAGCTAGTAAGATGAAACAGTAAGAAGGGAAATTCCTGCATGCCATAACAGAATACCAAAGGAAAGACAATATGTAGCATGGAGAAAGCACAGACTCAGGGTCAAAGAACCTAGCTCCGTCACCCAGCTCTGCCACTACCACACTCTTCCTGAGCTTTATGTCCTCCTCTGTAAAATCAGGGTCTGTATTTCTCCTTTAGAGAATTCTCGTGAGGATATAATGAGATCACAGACTTGGAAGTGCGTTGTAAAGCAATAAGGGCATTATAAATGTGCGCTGTTTGTATTAGTCATACTGCGCGAGGCTGGGCGCCAGACACCTGGCTTTCAGCCCTGTCTCTGCCTCTAATTCATTGTGTGATCTTTGCAAATTGCAGAAATCCTGATCCTCAGCGAGACCTCACACAATACCTAGTGTAATGCTTTCAATTTCGCAGGTGGGGAAACTGAGGCCCAGACCCTGGAGCTAGATCACAATCGGAGGCGGATCCTCGGATTTCCTACACCAAAACCTATTTCCCCTGCACCAGGTCCCTCTGTTCGGCCCTTTTCCCATTCTGTAACACGAGGCGACTGGCCTCAAATGACCCCCGCGACCATCATTCTCCGGAGCCGTGTAAACTGCGCAGCACTGCGCAAATGCACCCCGCAATGAGCAGCACAGCGCTCTCAGGCTGACAGGCTGCCGCTTGGCCTCCCGGACGCCCATTCCCACCTCCGTTCCGACCCTGGCCCGCAACGGCCGCACACTATCCTGCTTGGCTCTGGGGCCTCCGATGGGCGACCGGCCGCAGCCAATACTCACTAGAACAGATCAGGGACATGGCGCCGTCGCAGCACTCCCAGTCGCCTCACAGCGGGCTCCCGGACTAGCTGCTGAGCTTCCGCGGACCACTTCCGGTCCCCCGCTGCTTCCGGGACGCTCCGCAGCTAGCAGGGAACGACCCCGCCAAGCAATGCTCGCGTAGCGCTTCACGTGGGAAGGTGGCCGGTAGCGCGCCTCAGTCTTCAGCACCTAACGGAAACTGCCCTTTCCCAGAATGCCACCGGGCAGGAAAAGCCCAGCCGAGGAAAACTCGGCTATTTCCGGATTTAATCGGCTCCTTCCGGACAGTGTTTGCGAGCAGGAGGCGGGAAAGAGAGCAGAAACTACATTTCCCATGATGCAGTCGGAATTGAAAGCTAAAACAAATCCTCAACGCTTATTTTGAGAACATTACTGCGTTGGACTAGGGCTCATTAGTCTTCCCCAAAACGTTTTTCGTGCCTGTAAGAATTTCCTTACGAGCCCGTAAAAATGCAGTTTCCTTGGATTTGTCTTAGAGTCTGTAGATAACCCCACGTGATTCTGTGGTAAGCATTTCTTCTCCACCTTTTGAGAGGCACTGCTAGGTGACCCCCTGCAGAAAGCGCAAATGAGAAGAGAAGCTAACACGGGCCACGAAAGTGTCCTGGTTCTGCCTCTACTATCAATTTGCTCTGCGAACTTGAGCAAGTCATTGGCTTCATTGCCTGCTATGTTTTAAAGATGATTTGTCTACCAGACTCACGCAGGAATTTAATCCCCAAAGTTTATGTGAATGGACTTAATAAAAAATTTAATTTGACTATGGTGTTTAGAGGTAGTGTCTGTGGAGCGTGATTAGATTAGGCCAATAGGGTTGAGTCTCCATGATGGAATCCTGGTGGCTTTATAAGAGAGAGCCACCAGGGAGGGGAGAGGAGGGGAGGGGACGGGAGGGGAGGGGAGGACAAGAACGGAAGCATACATTGCTAGCTGCCACATGATATGATATATCCAATGCAGGGCCTCTCATCAGAGCCTGCATTATTCTGCTTGGACCTTGGACCTTCAGAATTCTGAGTCAAAAAAGCATCTTTTCTCTATAAAGTAGCCTGCCCCAGGTATTTTATTATAGTGATGAGAAGCTGCCTAATACACTGCTCCTTTTTCTTCTGTAACAGTGGTTATTCCTTTAGGAGTTATCCTTTGCAGTTACTTTTGTTTATACATATATATATATATATATATAGATATATATAGATGTTTGTTTATTTATTTATTTGCATGTGCAGTTACTTTTGATTCCCTTCCCTTTTCCCTTAGCATTCTAAATGCTAAGGAAAGGCCAAACCTAAGTGATGCTATCCATTATATAATCTTTCTTTCCTCTTTTGTGTGTGTGTGTGTGTGTGTGTGTGTGTGTAGTATGGGGCCTCACACTTGCTAAGCAGGCAATCTACCACTTGCACCACTCCACCAGACCCCTCCCTAATCTTTCTTTGAATGTGCAGAACCCAAAATATCTGGTGACCTGCAGACAGCATCAGAATAAGCCACATTCCTCCTTATTTTTTAATCCTGCACATCAACTAACACCAAGAATGTGAATTGCTATGAGTAATTTTTGTCTAAAGAAAATGCAGAACTAGTCCCAGGAGGTCAATGTCCATTATGAAGTTCTGGACAAAGGTGAGAGGAAAAAAGGAGACATGTGCCCTAGGTGATGAAGACCTCTGTCTCAGCATACAGACTTCCTCCCAATTACCCCTCTCATCTCCTTTCCTTCCCTATAAAAGCCATTTTGTGTACCTGAGCTCCCCAAGATGGGGCTTTGAGGCAATTGTACCTCCACACAATCTTCTCAAAATGCTGGCCCTTGAATAAACCTGACTTCCCACCCACTCTCATCTTTTGAGTATTGGCTTTTCAGTCGGACCTGGGTCTGGTAACACTTCTAGATCCTTTCCTGCTCAGACAGTGTATGATTCTTCATGAATATCTACAAGATAAGATGCTTTGGGAATCACATAAAGAGCACCCGTTGTGGCATAGAAGGTATCTGAACAAAACAGCAGATGGGTAAGCGCAGGCAATAAAATCTCCACTGAAGATGTGTAAATGACCAGAATTTTGACAGATAGGCAATATTCAGATCAAGAAGAGGGAGAATAAAGGGAATCCCAGGAGGAAGAACAGCATAAGCAAAGGGTTGGAAGTAACAATAAAAGTTCCAGGTATAAAGGGCAGTGTGGCTCAGGTGCCAAGAGCATGGACTGAGACTGAAGTCATATTTTGTGCCCAAATCTCGGCTCCAAATAGGTTGTCTACTTTGTCAGATTCTCTATACCTTAGTTTCCTCACTTGCAAAACAGATGGAGAAATACATGAGTAAATCAACAAAAATTACAAGAGGCCATCGTTTTAGACTAGGCTCCTGACTAGGTCTAAACAGACCAGACTAAAAATCAATATGGAGCGACTCATGCAAGGTTCCATGCTACTGAACCAAACTAAAGTTGGTATCTGACCCTTCAACAAATCAGAAGACAGATAATAGACAAGTTTCCTTACAAAGATCAATTTAAACCCCTAAAATAATGAAGTTCTGTCTGCTTTAATTCTTACAAAAAATAAACTGAAGTAAAACTGTTTGATGTTAGCCAAACAGTTATTTTTTCTATTTTTCTGCATCCCTATCCCACTATTACAAGGAAAACAGATGGTCAACTCACTTTTTGTTCTGCTTCTGCTTTCTTCAGTCCTTTTCTATCTATAAAACTAACTTCCTCTGCTCAGCCTTTCAGAACACTTCGTATTTTGTGGAATGAAGTGTTGTTCAATTCTAAAATCACAAAAAAATGTGTCGGGTACAGTAGCAAGTATCTGTCATTACAGCTAATCAGGAGGCTGAGGTAGGAGTACAGGAGTTTGAGTCCAGCCTGAGTAACACAGTGAGACCCAAAGGAAGAAAAGAAGGAAAGAAAAGAGAGAGAGAGAGAGAGAAGAAAAAGACCTTCAGCTAAATTGTACTTTTGTCATTTGACAGAACTTATTCACAAGGTTATTGTGAAGAGTTGCTGATAACTGGAGATTAAAAAAAAAAAAGATGAATGAGACCAGCTTCCTGCTCTCTTGGAGCTTACATTATATAGTGGTGGTGGGGGGTGGCACACAGACAATCGATACACAAGAAGAAAATTCCAGAGAGCAGTAAATACTATAAATAAGAGAAGTCAGTGTAGGGTAGGTAGCAGGTTTTGGGGATTGGAGGAGCAGCTACTCTAGGCAGAGTATTCAAGGGATGCAACTCTAAGGAGGAAACATTTTTGCTGAGATCTAAATGAGGGTCAAGAGTCAGTCCTGAGACTACAAATGAGAGAAAGAGAGTTTCTGGCAGAGGAAAATTGCCCTGAAGTCATGTACCATCAGGCTCACGCCAACCTTCTCCACAGTCTCACCTAACTTTTCCAGCTATGTTGACCTTTCAATGCTTCAAACACACTCCCTCTGGCTGGTTCTAAAACCTTTGCTTGGAACACTTCCCTCCATCTTTCTCCTCCTCTTCCAAACCCTCCAATGTAAACTTCAGTCTCACCTTAAATGTTAAACGTTCCTTCCTCCGGAGTCCCTTCTCCTTCCCTCCCTCCCTCCCTTCCCTCCCTCTTTTCTTTCTTTCTTTCTTTCTTTGTCCTTCCTCTCTCTCTCTTTCTTTCTTTCGAGAGTGAGGTTTGAACTGAGGGTTTTGCACTTGCAAAACACTTGAACCACACCTCCAGTCCACTTTGTTCTGGTTATTTAGCAGATGGGGTCTCACAAACTGTTAGTTGGGACTGGCTTCAAACAAAGATCCTGCAGATCTCAGCCTCCCAAGAAGCTAGGATTACAGGTGTGAGCCACTGACAACTAGCTGGAGACCCTTTCTTTACCTCTGACTGAGGTTTAGTCTCCACACACCCTGTAAGTCTCTTCCAACCCACTTTGAAAACCTATTGTCATTTGATTATTTATTCATCAAGAGCTGTTTGATATCTGGGTTCTCTGTTATGTATAAATTCTGTGATGGCAGGAGCTGTTGTTCTGGTTTACTCTTCCTCTCAGAGTCCAAGATTTTCACAGCGTCTGGCACATAGAAAGAACTTCCTCCTTATTGTTGGTTGAATGACAGGCTGCCAGACAGGCCAGGTATCTCAAGTGTTTGGATGTGAGGTAGGAAGTAAAATGAACCCGTTTAGATGGGGCCTTGAACCTAAGGTGGTTACACTAGATTGGGTTGGCAATAGAAGAGCATTTATTGCATTTGAACTAAGGAGTAATAACTATACATCCAGAGTTTTCTCTGGAAGATACTTACTGGATGGGTTTGCTGGAAATAAGACCGCCGACGACCATTGGGGTCACAACCCGGCACAGAAATGGAGACTTGTCTCGGCAAGACATGATTTACTTCTGAGAAGGGTGTGCAAGCACGCCGCCACAGCAAGCATTAGCTGTAGAGGTAGGTCCACAATTTTATTCCTGATGCAGTGGGGCCCCGCCTCCCTCACTCGGATTGGTTGATTGGGTGCACACACTGCTCACGATTGGCTAATGCTACACTTGGAATTTGGGGGTGGGGTAGGTAGTAATTTCCACCAAAACAGAGCTCAGTGAACAAGAACCCAGAACTGCAAGTGGCTAAGATGGGGACACACTTGGATAGAAAAGACTGTTTTCAGCCCCGTTCCCCCCTCTTTTTATTTTGTTCTTTTTTTCAAACTCACTTAATATTATTTGACTCTATTTTAGCTGTACTCAACAATAATTGGTATGATATGTAAGTTTATTTAGTTAGGGCAGTTTCTATGAGTCTAAGAATTAGTCCCCATATATAGGATATAACACAACACCTAATTAAAGCCATTGCCCCAAATACAACAATGAGGGAATGTTAAGATTGAAGTTATCAGTCCCGTTTTTTTAAACCATTGTTTTAGCCAGTTAATAAGGGTGTCATTTATCCCTGAGTTCTTAGCCAGTTGGTGGACAGGGCTGTCAGACCTTGGAGAGCCTTGGTTATGGTCCCATCTGGAGCTGTATTGTTGGGGATGAATGTGCAACATTTGACCCCAATCAGGACACATCACCCCCTCCCCCCTTTTGTGCCAGAATCATGTGTAGAACAATCTGGTTCCCTCATGCCATCTTACTGATGGAGCCTAGGTGTTCTGCAATGCCCCTCATTGCACCCTAGTATAATTGACAAGTCCGTTGGTTATAATAGATATAGTTAATCTAATTTGCATTCTTGTTAATAGTGGGCCACCAGAACAGTGCTGATTCAAATCCTGCTGCTATTTGCTTTTTGCTTTGAATTTATCAGGGACTCCCCATGGGACCCCAATGGCATCTATGTAGACATGGTTAGGGGAGGTTTGGGTTTTCAGAATGCTAGGGTGAAAGGGATAGCCAATTGTCCTAAAGTGCAAGTCCCACTCCATTTGACTGGAAGAGTCTCAAGTAAAGGTCCACCACAATACCACCAGACATCCACCCTGGCAACAGTTAGTGCAAATTTATTGCTCATCTCTTCAAAAGATCAGCCTTTCCCCCGCACCTAGAGAGGCAAAGTTAGAGCTTCGAGATGGGGGGGCTAATCGACAGAGGCTACTTTAGCCTCTCTTGGTCATTAATCACAGGAAACAGCAGTGACAAGGTCCTGTAAGACCCATTGCCCCAGGCTGTCCTTCTTGGAAGAGTGCAACCATGCATACCACACCAGCAGGGTCGGTGGTCCATCCCAGAGGGAAAGAGACAACTTGGGGTTCTGGTCTTCCTGTCACACATGTGTAGCAACTGATTTTGTTTAAAGTGCAGACAGAATATTTCATCCATTTCAACCATGTATTCATTTCCCCATAACCACTCTTAATAGCTATAGTCTGTCTTAGATCTTTGACTTCCACTACAGGTTGGAGCAGGACAGAATAAAAGGAAAGGAGACCTGGTGTGTTGGAAACTTGGTTCTCAATGCCACAGTATTGACCCATGAGACCTAAGGGTGGTAATTGGGTCATTGGGGCTCTGCCCTCAAGGATTAATGGCTTAACAGGTTAAAGGGTTATGAAGGGAATGGCTGTTTTAAAAGTTTGCTCTCTTTCTGGCACACTTGCTCTGCCCTCTGCCAAGCTATGAGGCAGTGCTCAACAGATGCTGGCACCATGTTCTTAGATTTTCCACAGTCCAGAAACATGAATTACATAAACATCTAGTCTTTATAAATAACCCAGGTTGGAGTATTCAGTTATAGTGATAGAAATAGACTAAGACACCCAGTAATTAATTATTGGTCCTGTGTGCCAGGCAGATACTGTACTGGGCAGCAGCAGAGGTGTCCCTATATTAGGGAGCTTATGGCTGTGACATAGCAGGGAATATCCCAAATGCAGGGAAAAGGGAGTCCCTTGAAGTCTTTTCAGTTCAATGGCCAGCCTATCCAGGTGTAGAAAGGATTTAGAGTACAGTCCAGGAAAAAACTTTGTACTGTCTGAAGGTTCAATAATTAAGTCTATGAAATTAACAGACAGTCAGTAAACAGGAGAGAAACCTTTTAAGTTACATATATACACACTGGAGTTCCACAAAATATGAGACTTGAAGGGTCAGATGAGTGAAGATTTTATAGCATTCTGAGCTATACAGAAGAGAATGGGGGCTTGGAGGCTCTGCAGCACACAGTGACAAGTGGTAAGAGGGTGAGGGGAGGAAATGGATGGTGGATACATAAGCTGTTTTTTTATGCAGATAAGAAGTCTCTCAGGTAATAACAGGTGCCCCCAAGCAGCCCTCAGAAGACTAATAGTCTGTGACAATGCCTGTCTTTTTCTTGACTTAATCTTTCCTGGTTGATGGGATTTCCCAGGCTCAGCACTCATGATCACTGGGTTCCTTTAATTGTGGGAGGGAGTCTATCTTTAGGGAGCTTCAGAGAAAGCCCCTCCCTGCACTTGGGGGAGTGGTGGGGTGGGGAGAAAAGGGGGCAAGAAGACAGGAGGGCCTGGAGAGAGTCAGGGAGACCTTGATCTAGAGCCTGCTTCTGAGGCCTCCCAGTGTCTTTTGCCAGAATTCCATACTTTGGGGATCATTTTTCTGAGTCCTAACAAGGATAACTAATTTTTGGAGTAAACAAGGAATCTTAGGAAGACAGACATATATGCATAGATGTTGGTAGTCCTCTGAGAAAGGAACTCTATGCCTTACCCCCTTACCCCTACTCCTAGAGCAAGGCTGCTGCTGAAAGTATGGGGATACAGAGCCAAAACCCTAGAGGCAGCTCCATTTCCCTGGGAAATCCAGTGATCACTGATGTGGACCAGTGATAGACATGATAGTGACTCCCTGGAATTGCCAACTGGAATAACCAACATTGTGGGTTAGTTAGATGAACTGAACCCCTTCCTTTGGCACTATGGTAGTTTTCCAAAAGGTACATGCAACCTAAAAATCCCGGGCAGAAGAACGTTGAAATGTCAGAGTTGGTTTCTACCACCCAGATGCATGCTGAAGTTGGAATGAGAAACTGCGTCACAAGTAAATGTAAAGTTTCAGCTGTTAAAGGATGGCGGTTAGGTCCAGGATTCTACCAGAGCAGGTTCTGGAAGAAAGACTTCCAGCTGAGAGGCAGGCAGTGATCAGGGTTCAGATGAAGATGGATGAGTCTGAGAAACATCCGAGGGACAGAATCAAATGGGTGAGGTGACAGATCAGAGCCACTGGGAGTGTAGTCTGGGAAGAAGGCAGAATTGGAAGGCTGATTCTCAAGGGTATAGAGGGAGTGTGAGTCTGAGAAGTGGGCTTTAACATTAAAGGAAGCTATCCTGTGGCAGTCAGTAATGGTGATAAACATTTGGACAGTTGGAAAATGCTTGCTCTCATTAACTTCATTGAAACTTCACAACTGCTACGAAAAGATATTTTTAGTATCTTACAGTTCTTCAAAGTCAAGAAACTGACACCTTTTTCTCTCTAGATATATCTCTCCCTCCCTCCTCCTTTCTCTCTCTCTCTCTCTCTCTGGTACTGAGGTTTGAACTCAAGACCTCACGCTTATAAAGCAGGCACTCTACCACTCGAGTCACACCTGGTTATTTTGGAGATGGGGAGTCTCGCGAACTATTTGCCAGGGACTCGAACCGCATTCCTCCCAAGTGGCCGGGATTACAGGCTTGAACCACAGGCGCCAAGGTCTTTCCTTTGTGTTTTTTAGCGCGAAAAGTTTTTTAAACCACCAGATGCTCTGGAGCGCCTGCTAACGTTAGAACTACATTTCCCACGATGCCCTAGGAGGCAGCATTTTTAGCTCGAAAACTACGTTGTGCTAAATGCCGAGCGGTTGCAGGCGCGCATCAGCTTACACACCCACTGCAAAGAGCGAGGCTAACCATTCTACAGCCCAGCTACAATCACTTCTTTTCCCTTTCCCGCTTGAGACTTCGGTTCTCAGAGGAACATCAGATTCCATTCTTCTCTTGGGAACGCTTGGATTCAATGTAACAGTGCGAGAATGGCGCATGCGCCTACGGCTCCCCGCTCCGGGCCACAAGGGACACCTTCCAGTCTCCGCGCCGAGCCAGCTCTCGCGCATGCGCACACCATAAACCAACGCCCGGGTGTTGAGGCGCGGGTTTGGTGGCGCGTTTTAGCAAAGTCGCACGTGAAGGATAGCGGTTACCGGAGCCTGGTGAGTGCGAGCCCAGATCAGGGCTGGGAGGCCATACGCGGGATGGGGAGGCGGCAGCCGTGCCAGTGGAATCCAGAGCGCAGCCGCGAGGCCTTGCGAGCTCGAGTGGGAGGGGGGTAGACGTCCATCCGCGGGTGAAGCAAACTAGGGACCTGGATCCTCGTTGCTATGCAACCGGGGGCGTCGTTACTAGGTAACATGAGAGGTGCAAGTTTTCTGGGAGAAGAGGGTTCGAGCCTCTGCTTCAAGGTTCGGTGCCAGAGGAATAGCTGCTAGGCTGGGGGATGAGGTCAGCATTGACCCCCACCCCCCGATCCCTAACCCAAGGGCCAGCCTTCCGCGACCTCGGTTCGGACCCCGCCTGGGAACCCTGAACTCATGGGCCACGCCGCATCCCCAGCCGGCGACGCCACTGTGCTGCGCTTGGCAGGGGACCCGCTGTTCGAAATAGCACATGCCACCGACACCCAGTCTCTCGGAGTCTGGGCCCTCGGGAGGGTGCGGTAGAGCTGCCCCTTTGCAGTCACCCTGCCCCCAAACAGTTGCTGGGCAGCTGCTGTCGGGTTTAGCGGGGACCTGCCAGGACACTGACTTCATTCTCCTTCAGTGGTGGCTTCGCCTAGTTTAGGATCTTCCTTTTCACTTCAGCTGTGCTTCTCCCTCGGGTGGCCGTTATATATTTGGATCAACTATGAAAATAACTTCTCCCCCCACTCCCCATGTCTGTCTGTGTTCTACCCTCGTGGCTTCTTGGTGTGCCTCTAATACTCACTTAAGCATTTATTAGTCATTATGTGCTAAGCACTGGGAATCCAAGAAAAGTTAGATGTCAAGTCAGACTGGGAGATGCTAGGAGGCTGGCAGAGAAACTGCTACACCATGCAACATAGTGAGTGGTATAGTGGCTATCTGTGTGCAGCAAAATCCTACAATCCTACAGACGTCTACAGAATGCTTGCAGTCTTAACTCCTTGCAACAACTCAAACCAGCATCAACCGGTTTTACATTTGAGGAGACCGAAACTCAGGTTAAGTAACTGGCATAAAGGTAGTAGCTTCTTGCTTGTAGCAGAATTGGGCCAGTGATGAAAGTCCAGGGTCCTTTGTTACATTTTGGGGCTTTGCCTAAAGTAGATTTTTTCCTAGGTTACTGCCTGCTTTATGCATCAAGAATCCCTGGGGAGCTTTAAAAACAAAAGGTTGAGCTGGTCTCTGGGAGAGTCGGTAGCCCTGGGTGGGGCAGACATCCTTGTTTAACAGGCTGTGCAGGCAGTTCAGATGGGTGACCAGAGAGTTCATAGGAACAGCTATGAGCAGAGATGGGACAACCAGGACCGGCAGAGGGCACCAAGTCAGCTTTCTCTTCTGCCCTATAATGATTCATAGCCTGAAAGGAAAGAGGAGAGGAAGGAGTGTTGGCAGGGGTTGTGTGGCCAGCCCTATCCCCTCCTAATTGAGCAAAGCACAGCTGAACATATAGAGCCTTCTTCCTACCTAAGCCACTTTGAGCTTGTTGGTATTTAGCAGAATTTTGAGTGTCTGTAGGCAGGAACAAATCTTACCCAGGTGGTGTTAGGGATGCACAAGCAAAAGGGCAAGACTGAGATCCTGGGATCTGGAATCAAGTCCCAATTCTGCTGTGTGATGATGGATATCAAAAGCCATACTTTTAAAATGGGAAGAATAGTGTTAACTTAAAAGATTATTACAGAGGCTGGCACATAGCTCAACAGTACAGCACTTACCTAGCATGTGGAAGGCTCTGGATTACATCCCCAGCACTGCAAAAAAAATAAAAAAGATTGTTGTAAAAGCTAAGTAAGCCGGACACCAGTGGTTCACACCTGTAATCCTAGCTACTCAGGAGGATTGTGGTTCGAGGCCAGCCCAGGAAAATAGTTCTCGAGACCCTATCTCAAAAAAACCCAATACAAAAAAAGGCTGGTGGAGTGGTTCAAGGTGTAGACCCTGAGTTCAAGCCCCAGTACTGCAAAAAAAAAAAAGTTAAGTAAGATAGTGAAGTAATAAGCACCACACAAGATTTCTTTATATTTACACACATTATTATTATTTATTACTGAGTGCCTTCTGTTTGTCTGAGGTCAGTCATTGCAGGAGGTGGAAAAGCTTAAGACATGCTTCTACCTCTCAGAGGTACAGACTGCTTCAGCTCTTGAGTACCATGGCATCTTTCTTTATTAAAGTATTTGAAAGGGCTGGGGATGTGGCTTGGTGGTAGGGTACCATCCCCAACATCATAAAAAGACACACATTGAAGTATTTAGTCAGGCCAAAGTGAGAGAGCATAGTGGTGATAGGTAGATTTATATCACCTGGACTTAACCTGGAAGAAATGAGAAGGAATCCTGGAAAAGAAACCAAGTTCAAGAAACAGACCAGGCAGCCTGGCACCGATGGCTCACACCCGTAATCCTAGCTACTTGAGAGGCTGAGACGGGAAAGATCATTGTTCGAGACCAGCCTGAAAAGGGAAAATAGTTCACGAGACCCTTTCTCCAAAATAACCAGAACAAAATGAACTGAAAGTGTGGCTGAAAAGGTAGAGTGCCTGCTTTGCAGGCACAAAGCCCTGAGTTCAAAACCCAGTCCCAGCCAAAAGAAAAAAAGAAACAGACCAGGCAGTCATATGTACTTAATATCTCTGAACAGTATACTCCAAAATCCTGTTAGATTTCGTTTCTGGCATACTTGAAAAGGTCACCTGGCAGGGCAGTGCTGGCCTTGCTCTGTAGGGTTTATTTCAAGGTCCTCCAGACCAGGGCAGATGGCCACTTGAAGTTGAAGCTGGCACTGAACACAGCAGGCTGTCGTGGAAGGAGCAGTTTACATCACCCTGACCTTCTAGTCGAGGAGAAGTGGACATCTGATTCCTCCTGGTGGAGGTCCTGGGATATAGGATCCAACCCAAGATAGCAACCCTGGTCTCTAAGTCCCCAACATGATTATGACCCAAATAGCTTAGGGACTAACCTGTGCTTTCTTCATCTTGATGGCAGGAACCATCTGGTTCTTGATTTGTGCCAAGAGTAGAAGGCTTTCCCAGCCTGAAGCTTTTCCATATGAATTGTGCTTTGCACCCTGCTTAACCCTCCAGGTCTGGGGAGGGGTTTCAGGCAGTGGTTTCAAGGCCAGAAGTTACCCTGAGTGTAGTATTTTTAGAAGACTTTTTTGGAGCCTTCTCCTTCCCTCCCTTCTCTTCTCCTTCCCTCCTTTCTCTTCTCCTTGAATGGCTCCATATTTCTGGCCAACTCTCTGAATGCCTTGGTAACTGCAATATAAACTCGGGTGTTTGGAAGGGCTTGTTGTAAATAAAAAACCAAAACTTTCACCTTCATCCTCTGAAGATATTTTAGGAAGTTAGGCCAAAGGGCCAAATTCAAACACTTCAAAATCTGTCTGCTTCTGCCTTAGAGGCTTGTCCTAGCCTCTGGTCATCATGTCTGAATCATGGAGATTTCTAGTAGCTTCATGTGCACTTCTGAGCCTCTAGGAGTATAGGGGATTTGCTGATGTTGTTTGACAGTTCTCCAGCCTGGTGACAAATAGAAGGTGGATCTGCAAACTTTTTTTTTTTTTTTTTTGGCTGATCCTCACCTACTTCAATAAGTCGGTACTTGTTGGGCTTTAGCTTGGGTATGGTATCAAGTTACAGAGGAGCTCAGAGCACAAAGTGCAAAGTTGCTTAGGTGAGTTTTGACCAGTAATTCACTAAGGTGAATGGTAGACGCCAAGTTTATTTTAACTCATGAATAATCTTTTGTATGGTTCTCTAAATCTTCTGAGTTGGAGATGTTACAGACAAGTCCAATGTATTTATCCTTCCTCAATTTTTTAAGTTAGGGATCAATAGCAATACCTGCCTGATGGGCAGTTGTGAGATTGAGATAAGTAGTCCATGGTAAGACCAGCTAAATGTTGACTTTTTAATCCATAGTAATATGTCTCCCTAAAGGTTGTTCTTTAAGCCTTCGCCCGTTTGGGCTTGGGAGATGAAGTCATTCTGTGTCAGTAGTTGTGATATTGTATATATATACACAGCAGTTTGGTTTTCATCCACACTTTCTAGCTCAGAGCTCACATGCTCACATAGACCTTGTAATTTCCTAAGTGATCAGAGCAATAAGAATATATATATATATATATATATATATATTTTTTTTTTTTTTTTTAGCAGCACTGGAGTTTGAGCACTTGCTAAGCAGGTGCTTTACCACTTGAGCCATACCCCCAGCCCAAGGATATCTTTTGTTAAAATATTTGACCTTTTGGCTTGGCTTCCTGTAACATCTTCAGAGGATGAAGGAGAAAGACAGGGATGCTGTTTTTGTTTGTGATTTCTAACAAGTCCTTTCAAACACACCTAAGTTTATGTTAAGGAAGCCATTTTTGGAAGATTCCCTAGATACCACAGGAAGCCTTTATTGCCAGGGGAACCAGCCATATGGTGGGAGGACCTCTGGGGAGGGTGGATGCTGAGGATTGAGTTGGTCACCAATGACCAGTTATTTGGTTGAAACTTCCATGGAAACCCAAAAGGACAGTTTGGAGAGCCTCTGGATAACCGAGCTCACAGAGGCTCCTGGGATGGTATGGAAACTCCACATTCCTTCCTCCACACCTGCCCTACCCTTCTTTTCATCTGATGTTCACAGTATCTTTTGTAATATCCTTTAGAATAAGCCAGTAAGCCTAAGCGTTTCCCTGAATTCTGTGAGTCTCTGTAGCAAATTCATCAAACCTGAGGAGGGGGTTTTGGGAGCACTGATTTATACCCAGTTTGTCAGAAGCACAGATAAAGCAACCCAGGACTTGTGAATGGCATCTGAAGTTGTGACTGGACCCTGCTTGAAAGCCAATACAAGGAGATAGAGTTGGTGGGGAGGAAGTCGGACTTATTCAAGGACTGGTCCTGAGAAGATGGAGGGGCTGTTACTCACAAAACTCCAGCTTAGGTATCTCAGACATGTGAAAGGGATTTTATAAGGAGGAAAGAGGCTTGGGAGACTGTGCCAAGTTGGGGGCAGGCGTCTTCTCATCCAGGGCACACATCTCCTTTTTTTCTTTTTCTTTAGCTGGGACATAGGAATATTGCAATGGACTTGACCTCCTAGGGCAACTTCCTGTAGTTCTATAGACAGACACACTACTTTTCTACAAGCTAAACCACATAGTAATGTACAGGCTTTGTGTTAGTTGATGCACAGTATTAAAGAATAAAGAGGGTGTTAGGTGTTCTGAGGGATCTGAGGTCACCAGATGTTGTAGGGTCTGTAAATATAAAGAAAGGTTATTTATCGGTTAACATCTTCATCATTTAGGTGCAGCTTCTCTTTAGAATTTAAAATGCTGGGCAAAGGGAGCGCAAAGGACAATCTGCATAGAAATACCTACTATTCCAAGTCTTGGGGACTGGGCCATCAACCTGTGGATGTGACTCTCCCTCGACTAGATGGTCTCAGAACTGAATTGAGTCAGAGGACACCCAGATGGTGTCCAGTGTGGATTGGGTTGCTTGCTTTGTGTGTGGGTAACACACACACACACACACACACACACACACACACACACACACACACAAATCTCACACAGAAGTCTTGTTGATTGTTGAGTGGGAGGATAGGAGAACCTGAGTTTGTTTTTTTTCCCCATCTCTTCAGAGTGGTTCTCAACTTTGCACAGCAGAATTATCTGGGGAGCTTTCGCCTAAGCTTAGGTCATACCCATATAATGCCAGCAGAACCTCTGTGCTTGGGATACAGATGGTAGTACGTCATGGTGCTCCCAGGTGATTCTTTGAGAAGCCCTCGTTGAGAGCCACTGTACACCCTGCCTCCCAACAATTATAGAATTTGGAGGCAGAGGCTTGAGTTCACATCCTGGCCTTTCTGCTTCTTAGTCCAGTGACCTTGCACAAAGAAACTGAGGCAGAGTCTCAGATTCTTCTCATCTGTTCCAAGAGGGACCAGGAGAAGAATAGTCACCTTGCACAATGGTCCTGCAGAGCCAGTGGCACAAAGGTAGTCATTCTTGTTTGAGCACATAACTAAGCACTTTTCTTCACATCACCCTATGGTGGTAATCCTACTTGTGTGCTATTTTAAAGTTGCTTTTTATATCAGCTTTACCTGAAGTCAATTATAAGCTTCTTCGGGCACAGCCTTAGAGTCTTATCATTCTTTGATGTCCGTGGCACATGTGACACAGCGGCAGGCCTTCAGGTTTAGGGAGCCTGGCCACAGTAAGGCATGGAATAATTCTTGTTGACTTGTTTCTGTGGAGTGGTAAAGGATGCAGAGGAACCAGTAAACTAGGTAGCTTGTACCCAGCTTGAGTTGCACATCCCAGTTCGTTCTTTCTTACCAAACAGCTCTTTTTAGGTTAGCTGGGTGCTTCCTGGGAGGCAGGGGTAGAAGGTGTGTTGGCAGATCAGCTGGCATAGTAGGTGTGGCTATAGATCTGAACCTCAGCTTACTCTGCGCTTCTCTCCTGACAGACCCAGCCATGGCAGGCTCAGGCAGCAGTTCTCCGTGGGGCACGCACCTGTTCAAGGCCATCCTGATGGTTCTAGTGGGCCTTGTGCTCCTCCACTCAGCATCATCCCAGTCCCAGCGAGACTTTGCCCCACCAGGCCAGCAGAAAAGGGAGGCCTCGGCTGACCTTTTGACCCAGATTGGACGATCTCTGCGGGGCACGCTGGATACCTGGCTGGGGCCAGAGACCATGCACTTGGTTTCAGAGGTAAGGAGTAGTTCCTGCTTTGGCAAGGAAAAGAAGCATTATTAATGGCCACCTCATCTTGGCATCACATCTTCTCTGCGTCATAATTCCAGGTGCACAGGGCCCCGGAATCCACAAAAAAGTTGCCTGGCAGTACCTACTTTTTTGCTTCCCCATTGTTTGATTCCTACCCTAGGGCCTTTTAGCCCCACCCCTGTCTTTCCCTGGCTGCTTCCTTTTCTTTGCCCAAAAGGCTGGGAAATGAGCCATTCTTACAAATCTGTATTAGTCACTACGTAATCTTGAACTGGCAAAATAGGGAGGTCTGTTCTTCACCTGTAGAAGTGAGGGGCTTGTGGCAGGGCTGTCTCTTGTACCCAGTGCCATTCCAAGCATGCTGTTCTGTCCTTTTGATGGGTTGCACTGAAGGACTGAGACAATCATTTTTAGTAGGTAGTCTCCTTTTTCATGGCAGCATCCCAGCCCTCGGCTGATGTTTTTTCACACACTTTCATGATTTGCTGGGAGGCTTGGAAGACTCCAGTTTTATAGGGTGCCTACTAAAGGAAATGGATATTCCCCATTCCCATACAAGTACATCCACTACTACCTCCAGAGCATCCCAGCTGATCAGTTGAACTGGGTCCCAGATATCCTGGTTTCTAAGTCAGGAAGGAGAAGTGACCTGTCATTCATCCTTATATGCTGGGAAGTGGACAGGGAAGTGCCTCAGCCAGGCCCAAGGTCCCCAGACTTTGACCCAGGTCCATTACCACAGAATGTCTCTGAAGGCCACTCCTGGGCCTTCAGGTGGTGACCAGGAGTAGATTAATGACCAGGAGTCATTAGTTATGGACTCATCTGCCCTGATGCTTTCTTCACAGACCCTGTCGCAGGTGATATGGGCCATCTCCTCTGCTGGCTCTGTGGCCTGCTTTGCCTTGTCTGGGATTGCTGCGCAGCTGCTAAGTGCCTTAGGGCTGGATGGTGAGTGGCAGAGAACTGGTTAGCTGGTTAGAGCTTCACCTCTACCTTCCTGTTGGTGGGAATTTATCTTTATCAGAGTTTAGACTTTACCCCAACTGCTTGACATTCTTGGAGATGTGGTAAGAGCAAGCTAGTAGCTCCTACCCCCATATCAGGTCTTTACTTGTGTAAGGCCTCCTGTGAGGCCGAGTATCTCTGTATGGTTAACCATAGCCCAGTGAGGCAGGCAGAATTGTTTTCATTTAGTAAACAGAACAGACACTCGACAAAGGGAGTAGCCTGCCCAGGGCCCACAGACACGACTCTTGAGGCTATGAAAACAGTTCCTTTGCGAGGGGGCCAGCCCTTCTGCTCCTTTGGTTCTTGGCCCCTCTTTGCCCTCACCACTTCCCCAGATTGCTGACTCTGTCACTCTCCCTTCCAGGTGACCACCTCACACAGGGCTTGAAACTCAGCCCTAGCCAAGTCCAAACCTTCCTGCTGTGGGGAGCAGCAGCCATGATCATCTACTGGCTGCTGTCCTTGCTCCTCGGCTTGGTCTTGGCCTTGCTGGGGCGGATCATGGGGGGCCTGAAGCTTTTCATCCTCCTGGCGGGCTTTGTGGCTCTGGTGAGGTCAGTGCCTGATCCTTCCACCCGGGCCTTGCTACTCCTGGCCCTGCTGACTCTGTACGCCTTGCTGAGCCGGCTCACTGGCTCCCGGGCCTCAGGGGCCCAACTGGAGGCCAAGGTGCGAGGCCTGGAGCGCCAGGTGGAGGAGCTGCGCTGGCGGCAGAGGCGAGCCGCCAAGGCACCCCGGAGTGTGGAGGAAGAGTGACAAGGATGCCCCCAAATGCTACCTTCACCATACCAAAGAGCTGAGTTGCTTCTGGGTTGCACAGCCCTCCTTGCAGCCCCTTGCCCTTTCCTTGCCCTGTTTCTGAGCCTTCAGAACCTTTATCCCTGCCCCAGCCCCTAGCTGAGGGAGAGGAGGACCACTCCACACTGGTCCTTGGGCCTGAGGCTGACTGTCTGGGATGGTTCTCTGCCCTTTCTCTACTCCCAGCCTGTCTCAGTCACAGCGGGTTGGAATGCCTCTGCTCCTAATTCTGCATCTCCTTTAGCCAACCCCACTGCCACTGTCCCCTGTGACTTACCTGGCTCCCCTCTGCTGCTGCCTGGCTTCCTCCCAAAGTTTGGGCTCTCCTGCCCTGCAGCTCCTCCTCAGCCAAGCCTCCAGATCCCTTTTCCTTTCAGCCCTGACTCCCACCAAACCACAGCCCCTTGAGGCCTGCCCTGTCCTTCTCATTGCCCAGCTGTAGGAAGAGGCAAGGGACATGGGACCTAAGGATAAGGGAGGAGGAAACGGGTCCTTGAAGGTCTGGGACAGGGGTGGGTGGAAGATGTATCTTCAGTCTGTTACAAGTGCCTTAATCCAAGCCAGCAGGGCCCACTGCTGGCTTGCTGCCATACTGAATGTAGGAAAGTGTGCTGTGGCTGCTTTGTCCAGAAGACAGTAGTCCCTTGAATCTTGATTCCTTTTCAGCCAAAGCAAAAGGCAGCAGCTGCTCTATAAGCTTGTTTGCAGGTAGGGCCCTGTGGGGATTTCAGAGCTCCTGAAGGAGGCAGGATCCTCATCTGCCCAGCTGCAAGTGGTTCTCTCCCCCTGTCCCTCCACTGCCTGTCACCAAGGAGCCCTTGCTGATCAGCGCCCACTCCAGCAGCTGGGAAGAGCACATAGCAGCCCTTTTCCTGCTTGTGCTCTTACGGGATGACAGGATGCAGAGCTCCACCAGGGTGTTCACTTGGTCTTGGGCTTTTGATCATTAAGTGGCCTCTTGTTCCTCTGAGACCCTGGTGGAGGTAGGTGTCCTCTGCCAGGTCTGGCACATGATGTGAAGAATAAACACCCAGTTCTTACTGTTAAGGTTTGATGTGGAATCATGGCTGCAGTGATATATATTTTTGTCAGCGCTTGGTTGGTTTTAAATAAAGTGCACGCTATTTTATTATCTTGTTCTGAATAAAATGTATTTACTCAAAAGTCTGGATTGCTTGAATGTCTCCCTCTACTGCCAGACCCCTTTCTGTGGGGCAGCCCTGCCCTCCTGACTTCTCCCATAGGGGCAGCACAAAGCTGCCAGGAGGGAGGGGGCAGAAAAGGCAACTGGTACCAGGTACCCTCCTGTAGGCTCTGTTGCAAAGCTCCCAGGGCTGGCCAGCACTGTGGGAAGGGCATGTTTGTTGGGGTGAGGGAAGTAACTCTCCCTTGGTGCTGGAATGCTGCTGGCACTGGTAGTCTGGAGAAGACTTGCCTGCTCTTCCCTTCTCACCAGAGGGAGGGGTTACTTACACCCAGGTCACCTGTGTCTACAGGTGTTTTGTGGAGGGGACAGGCTTTCTCCCCTTCTCTTTAAGCTGCCCAGGAGATGCTAATGTGCTCTGGACCTCTCCCAACACCATCTGACAGGTAAGGCTGGGCTGGGCCAGGACCTGAGGCAGACCTCTCTGACCAGGGTTGACCAGCCTTCACCCTTTATCCTTTGGGCTTCTCCTTGGGTGGGGCTAGGCATGAAACTGGAGGTGCCAGCACTTGGAGAACTTCCTCTGCGGGGGTGGCCAGGGCTCTGTCGGGGCAGGCCCAGGCGGTTGTCATCTGGCCCTGTTTGGCCTCTTTCCTTTTCTGTCCCTGAATTTTGGTTCTGATTCAGGTGAGATGCCTTCACAGGTGAGATGCTTGTGAGGCAGAGGAAGAGGCTTTTTCCACTGGTCAGCAGCCTCTGAGAAGGAGCCCAGCAGAACACACCATGTGTTTTCCGGTAGAGGCCATCAGTCCCTATTCAGTCTCCTGGGAAGTGGCTTTCTTCCCGACTTCAAGCACCGGGACGCTCTGGGGATGGGATCTGTAGGGCACTAGGACCCGGCAGGGCGGAGGGGGCAGCCCATGTGCTGCGCTGCGCTCTCTCCCACCCCACTGCTCCCGCTCCATTGTCTGCGAACTGCAGCCGCGGGCGGGCGGCGGCAGGGACCCAGCCGGCCACCAGGGCCGGCGCGGAGCGGGCGCTGGAGATGCGGGGCCGGACCGCGGCCACCTGAGCCGCCAGCCTAGTCCCGCCTTCAGTGGGGAGGATGGGCGCCCGGATGGCTGGGCGCGCGGCAGCGGACCCCCGGGGGCTCCCTGGTCCCTGGCTCTGCCTCCTGGTGGCCCTCGCCCTGGACGTCGTGAGAGGTCAGCGGGAGGGGAGGGGTGGGGCGGGGCGAGGGGCGGCTGGGCCCCTGCCGAGGCCGGGCGCGAAGGATGCCTGGGAACCAGGAGCCGTCGGTTCTCGAACTTAAACCAGCTCGCAGCGTGCCCTGAGGGCTGGGGAGGTCCCACCCCCAGGAGCCTACCCCAGCCACCGGCCCTCATCGCCTCCTTCACGGTGCACCATCGGGCAACTCCTTCCTGATCCAGGACCGGCCTGGCCCTGGGGCTCTGCCCTCATCCTCATCCACCCGGTCCCTCCACCCGTCTGCCACCGTCTCCACCAGTCCCTAATCTGCGGTCTATGGAGCTGCACTCTAGTGGTTACTGGCCTCTTGTCCCTACCATCAACCCGCTCCCAACCAGTGGGAATGGAAAGCAGCCCCTTTGCTGGGTCCTGCGAGATACTCAGCCCCCTCCCCCGCCCGGAGGAGCTCTCTGACTTTGGGGTCTTCAGGGACAGACCTATCCTTGTCTTGCTGAGCCCTTGCAGGGATATTCATCACTGGGTAGGAGCAGCGGCTCCACTGTGCCTGGGGGTGGCAGTTGCACGGCCCTTGGCATGGGCTGGGGCTAGGGGCTGCAGGTGAACGATGCCACAGAAGAGTGGGAGATAGGGAAGAGAGGCACTCTCCACCCTCCTTCCCCCATGGAGGGAGCTGAGCTCCAGGTGATGGAAGTCCAAGGGAGTCTGCTACTGAGCATTGTGTAATTATGGAGGTAATGGAGTAGGAGGTGGACTGGAGTCCAGGAGCTACCCCAGGGGGCAACAGTCATTCATCTGTTACCCTTGGGAGTTGGGACTTCAGGGAAGGCAGGAGGAGCATCTCTGACACATGTTCCTTGGTAGGAAAGACCAGAAAAGAGGCTGAAACCAAGCCCCCCACGGCCAGTCCAACTGTGGGGCTGAGAGGCAGCTGGCTCTGGGGCTGCTTTCAGCCACCTGCTCCCCATCCTGAGGGACCCAGTGGGAATCCTAATAGCCCCTTCCACAGAAAGAGGAGGGAAGCTTTGTCACATCCATTATGCAGCACCAAGAATCCAGCTTCCAGACAGCACTCCACAGCTTACAAAGTCTTCCCTCATCCCACAGGGTTAGTAAATGCTCCTCCCCATTCTTCAGGCGAGGAAACTGAGTTTCTGGGATGTTCACAATTGGCCCAATTCTCATTGAGGTAGAGCTAGGATGTAAAGTCAGGTCTCCAAACTCCCAGGAAGCTTCTCTAGGGAAAGTGTCCCAATTTGGGGGATATTCCAGGATGAGTTAGACAAAGTTTTAAACAGGAAAATAACTAATTCAGAGGAGGCAACCAGAGCTGGGAGCTGTGGTACACACTTGTGGTGCAGCTACTAAAAGAGATGAGGCAGGAGGATTGCTTGAGCCCAGGAGTTCAAGACTAGCCAGAAGAGACTGGTGGAAGGGCAAATGACCAAAAAAGACTTCCTTAAGAAAGAGGCAACATTCCCTCTTGGTCCTGATGAAGGAGGTGCCACTAAGTAGAGGAGGGGGATGCATTTCAGGAGCAAAGTCCACAGAGCCTGTTGTGGCATCCTAAAGTGGAGGAAGAGGTGGTAGAGGGAGAGGCAAGATTGTCTAGTGGTTAATGCCTCTGGTGGACTCCTGGCTCCACTACTCCTGTGGGACCACAGGCATGGACCTTAGTCTCTCCACCTCATTTTCTAAATCCACAAAATGGGATTTTTTTTTTCATTTATTCACATGTGCATACATTGTTTGGGTCATTTCTCCACCCTGTCCCCCTCCCCCACCCTTCCCCCCTCCCCCCTCAGTTCCAGGCAGGTCCTGTTCTGCCTTTATCACTAGTTTTGTTGAAGAACAGAGACAAGCTTAATAAGGGAGACAAAGCGTTTTTTGCTAGTTGAGTTAAGGATAGCTATACAGAAATATTCCTAGTATTGCACAAAATGGGATTTGTCTCAGAATTATTATGAAAACTGAAATAATAATACAGGTAAAACATTTGAAATAGTACCTGTGTAGGATTGGTGTTAATTACTACTATACAAACCAATATAACCTTAGTGGTCCTTTGTTTCTTTGACAATTGAATAGTCTATCTCCCTGGGCATGTGATTGCTACCACCAGGGCACGCAAGTGAACTTCTCTGACACTCTTCCCACCTCCTATGCTCCCCAGTCCCACTCTTGCACTCCAATACCCAGTTGGGACAGGGAAGAAGGGAACAAGCTTGGAAAGATGGTGTGAGTATCATGGTAGTGATGGTGGGATGCCCAGCCAGGTCTTGTCGAGGATTCAGAGACAGAGAAAGGGTCTCTCTACTTCTGCGAATCTCATCCCAGCACCACCTTTTACAGCAGAGGCCTCATGTAGGGAACCATGCCCCCAACACGTCCTGAAATCACAGGCAAGCCAGTAGTGAGCAAGAGTGTGGGAGGAGATATGGAGAAGGCACTCTGAGAGAGGAAGTCAAGATCTACGGAAGGTGGAAGGAATGACTGGGAAGCTGGCATTCGTTCCTGGACTTGGATTCAAATCCTGTTTTTGTTATATGCTACCTGCGTGAGGCTATTTGTGTCTGTTACCTCATCCGTGAAGTGGGGAGATGCCTCCCACACACATCCTCAGGGAATGGGCTATTTGTAGCCCAGTTCCTCCTCCACTGTCCACCACCACTGTGCCCACGATGAGCTCAGTTTGGCCCATGCCAGCTCTGGAGTCATCACCATCTCTACCCCTTATTCCTCTTCAGTGGGCTGTGACCCAGCTCGCCTGGACCCCACCTATCTGCCAGCATCCCTGGAGCTCTTGGATGCCCCTGAGCACTTTCGTGTGCAGCAGGTGGGCCACTACCCCCCTGCCAACTCCTCTCTGGGCTCCCGATCTGAGACCTTTTTGATCCTGCAGCCCTGGCCCAGGGCCCAGCCACTTCTCCGGGCCTCCTACCCGCCTTTTGCCACTCAGCAGGTAAGGGGAGACCCCCAAGGACGTCCAGGCAACAGGACTCAGCCTGAGGTCTGCTGTGTGTGGCTCGGGGGCTTTCTCCAGCCTCCTGCTTTGCTGAGTGTCCTCATTCTTCCTTAAGGTGGTCCCTCCTCGAGTCACTGAGCTCCACCAACGGCCAGTCCCATGGGACGTGCGGGCTGTTTCAGTGGAAGCAACTGTGACTCCAGCAGAGCCTCATGCCCGTGTCCTCTTCCACCTCAAAGGGCAGGATTGGCCACCGGGGCCTGGCAGCCTGCCCTGTGCCCGGCTGCATGCCACACACCCTGCAGGCACTGCCCACCGAGCCTGCCGCTTCCAGGTGACTGAGCTGTCCCCCCAACCCCCACACCAGCCAGTGGTGGCCCAGGGTAGAAAGGAAAGGGTTTGCTACTTTTGGGGAGTCTGAGGTCATGGGCCATCTGAGTCCATTCCTGCTCCACGAGCTTTCAGTCCTAAGAAAGGTTTTTTAGGGCCCCTTAAGGAGTTTGGTCTATTGTGTATGAGTTTAGACAGATAATCTAATCTCTCTGAGACTCAGTTCCCTCATCTGTAAAATGTAGTTACAATTCCCCACCTCATAATGGAGTTGGAGAAGGAATAAATGAATACAAGAGTTGCTTATGGCAAAGCAATCACTCAGCTGGTTACATTACATTATTGTTTGTATTACTTTTAAATTTTTATTTGCACTCATTAGCCATAGGAACCCATTGGAGAGAGCTGTTTCTCAGGTATTAGGATTCAGAATAGAAATCTGAGCTGTAGGCAGGGCAGTCCTGGGCATGGTCAGGGGAGGCATTGGGACTGGTTCATTGGAATGAGTGTGTGTGTTTCCAGGGGTGGAAGAGTGGCCTGTGAATGTGTTCTGAGACCTAGGCCTGGTGTCAAGCCCTAGCATGTCCCTAGTTTGTTCTATCACCTGTGACGTGTCCCTGGCCCTGCCTTTCCATGGTGTAGGTATTGTCCCCTGACCTCACCCTGGGCCAACCACAGCTGTTATCTTCACAGCCATCCCTGGGCGCCTGCGTTGTGGAGCTGGAATTCCCCTTGCAGTGGTTCTTCCAGGGCTCCACCACACGGGCCGAGCTGGCCTACACACTGGAGCCTGCAGCTGAGGGCCCTGGGGGCTGTGGCCTCGGTGGGGATGAGAACCCTGGGGAGCAGGCCCTCCCTGTGGGTGGAGTGGAGCTGCACCCAGCAGACCCCCCACAGTACCAGGAGGTACCTCTGGATGAGGCAGTGACTCTACGAGTGCCAGATGTGCCAGTGCGACCTGGTCAGCTCTTCAGTGCCACCCTCCTGCTTCGGCACAACTTCACAGCCAGTCTCCTGACCCTGAGGTAAGCACCAGGCCCCTGGGGAAGACGATACAAGAAGATGAATGGGTACTTACTGTTCTTGGGGTCCTTACTGGAAACCTTAGCTTCAGCAAAAATGGGTCCACCAAAATCTCCAGGCAGAGAGCTGCAGGATCCCGTAATGGGTATGGCCCAGAAGTGGGATGCCTCTGCTCCCTGGCACCTTTCTGAGACTCCCTTAGCTAGTGGGGCTCACATTGCCCTGTTCCAGGGCAGTTGCAAGGCTCCAGGAAGGAGGAACAGGAGAGGGCTCAGAACCTAGAAAGTATGAGCTACTGCTCTGACACTGTAGGAAGGGGCGTCTGTCTAGTCACATTCATCTGTGTTCTCCCTGCTGGTCACACCTCCCAAGGGGCCCTAATGTTCATACAGAGCCCACTCCTCCCTATAAAGGATGCATTCTGTGCATCCTTTCCTGCAGGAAGTTCCCCTCCCAATGCATCTGACCCTGCCCCCAGTGCATCTGACCAGGATTTGCAGTGTAATCTCTCACTTGTGCACTCCATAAACAGACCTTATTATACAGCGCATGCCTAACCCTGTGCCTCCATTCTGGAGGAGTAAGACACAGGCCCCATTTGACACTGAGGGGGCCCCCAGTGGTAGGAAAGGGAGCTAGATGGATGTGAACTCGAGTCTATGCTCCAGTGAAGGTATGATATGCAGTGAGGGCTTGGGCCAGTGGGTGGAGCAAGGGGGAAATTCATTTACCACCTGAAAAGCCTCCTAAAGGAAATGGTATTTGATTTATTGGGAGCTTAAAGAATCAGCAGATGAAGAAAGGAGGGCAGGCCAGGCTGAAGAGACAGCCTGCACAAAGGCTTGGGGCCATGAATGTGCACTGTGTGTGGGGGGAAGAATGTTTTGGTATGTCTAAAGCAGACAGTGGGACTGGCTGAGTGACTCAGGCAGTAAGAGTGCCTGCCTAGCAAGTGTGAGGCCCTGAGTTCAAACCCTAGGATGGCCAAAAAAAAATAAATAAATAAAAACTTTCCTAAAGCAGACAATGCATGGAGAGATGACATGGCCCCAGATAAGGTTGGACCTGGAGAGCCTCAAATGTCAGGCCCAGGCTTCAGGCTGTGGGCAGTTAGGAGTCATAAGTGGTCTTTGCGGGGCAGAGGCAGAGCCCCTCTGGTTAGGATGGGAGGAAGAGATTCAGACTGGAGTTGGGAGGCCAGACAGGAGGCTGATGTCTCTAGCTCCATGTCGTTCTCCTGGGGTCCTGTCCTCAGTTCAGCCTCTTACCTTGACAAACTGGACCTATAACCTCTTTCCAGGATCAAAGTGAAGAAAGGGCTGCATGTAACAGCTGCTCGCCCAGCCCAGCCCACTCTCTGGACTGCCAAGCTGGACCGCTTCAAGGGTTCAAAGCACCACAGCACCCTGATCACCTGTCACCGTGTGGAGCCTACAGGGCCGGACTCCAGGTAGGCCGAGGAAGGAGGCCTGGCCCTAGTGCCAGCGGGCACATTTAGGGGCCCAGGGAGGGGCAGGAAGGCAGGGGAGCCAGTGAGTATTCTAGGAGGTAGTGGTTAAAAGGCTCTGTGGATCTTAAGAGAGGCCAGGAGTGGATAAGAGCTTGGGCTAGGATGCTTGGGGCTTTAGATCTCAGTCCTGCCACTTTTCACTGTGTGATAACCTTGGTACCTTGGTTTCCTCATCTGTAAAGTGGGGAGAATCATGGTGCCTACGTCATGAATACAGGAAGTGCCTGGCACCTAATGTACTCAGTTCCTCTTTCTTTTGGCCAGCAGTCCCCTTGAACTGTCTGAGTTCCTGTGGGTGGACTTTGTGGTGGAAAATGGCACTGGTGGGGGTGTGGCAGTCACTCGTCCCGTCACATGGCAGCTGGAATACCCAGGCCAGGCCCCCGAAGCTGAGAAGGACAAAATGGTGTGGGAACTCCTGGTGTCGGAGCGGGACATAAGAGCCCTTGTCCCACTGGCAAAGGTAAGGGGTCTCCACCTGTATCCGGCCAGGCTAGGAGCCAGGTCCCAGGAGCTGCAGGTCCTGGGACTAAACAGCGCCTGCACCCCCAGGCTGAGGAGCTAGTGAACACAGCACCATTGACTGGAGTGCCTCAGCGTGTCCCCGTGCGCCTTGTCACTGTGGATGCTGGAGGAACACTGGTGGAGGTGACAGAGCACATTGGCTGTGAGTCAGCCAACACGCAGGTCCTGCAGGTGAGTGGCAGGTGCCCATGTTGTCTGAGTATGCATTTTTTGGGGGCACAGTCATGCATACGCAGCTCTCCTCCTACCCCAGAGGGTCCCCAAGAGAACAGCTTCTCACTCCAAACCTCATGAGTAGAACCACAGCTTCAACTTTTTGTTCCATCCCTCTCTCTCTAGAGTGAAGTGGGTGCTATGTAACTCCAACCTTAGGGCTTTCATGGCCATTCTTGGATGGCAAATGAGCTGAGCTGAGCCAAGAGCATGTACTTTGAAGTCAGAAGTTTTAGCAGAGACCCGTCTTTGTTATCAACTAGCTGTGTGACCATGGGCAACTCTCTTAACCTCCCTGAGCCTGTTTCCTAAACTTCAACATGGCACTATATCTTTGGGTTGTTGCAAGAATTAAAAGCACCTAATATAGTCTCCAGCTACTGCTGTTATAACATGACCTTATATGATGATGACGATATTGTTATTGGAACCTTGTAATGACCTGGGAAGTTAAAAAGTGGAGGAGGCAGACAGCATTCTCCATCTTGAGGTTTGGAGAGGGAAGCCTGGAGCCTGATTTACACAAATCCCGGCCACCTGCACAGAGAAGGTGTTTTTTCCACCTGTGGCAATACTTTCTCTTGTGTGTGGTTATTACCTGGGGGCTCTCAGGTGGGTGCGTCTATCTTGTCCCTCTACCTCCATTCTCTTAGCTATAGCTAGTTGTCTTGTGACTCCAGCACCTATGTCTGTGGCTGGCACTAATGAGGAACCTGCTCTGCCAGAAGGAAGGCTCCGTTGTATGTAATTGGCCACTGTCTCTGGCTGAGCCCCTGGAGAACCCAAGGCATGGCCCAGTGCCTCTGGGGGCGGGTAGTGCTGCCGGTTGGAGGTTGGTTGCACACTAAGGAAAGAGAGTAGCCCTACAAACCAACCCATCACAACACACATTTTAGTTAAATTACAGAACTGAATTTCAGCCACAGCCCTGTGCATGGCTGGGGTCAGGGATATTTTACCTGTCATTTGTGTCTTTTCCCTACCGCCTAACTCTGCCCTCCCACAGGTATCTGAGGCCTGCGATGCCGTATTTGTGGCTGGTAAGGAGAGCCGAGGTGCCAAGGAAGTGCGTGTAGACTTCTGGTGGCGCCGGCTCCGGGCCTCACTGCAACTGACCGTGTGGGCCCCGCTGCTGCCCTTGCGCATCGAGCTGACCGACACCACCCTGGAGCAGGTCCGTGGCTGGAGGGTCCCTGGCCCAGCTGAAGGGTGAGTGCAGGCCTGCAGGAGCTGACAGGCCTTGGCAAAGTCATTCTAGGACTGAGTGGGCACAGGGGACACAGCCATGGACCCAAGCTGGGGGTTGAAACACTGCTCATTGTTTCCAGTTCCTTCTGCCCATCCCACCTTGGGCCACCTGAACTCTGGTTGACACTGCCCAACTCCATACTCCCTCTCCTCTGTCTCCCCGGACTTGCTTCCATATCTTTTGCTGTTGCTGTTATTGCTATTTTCTGTTTTGTTGTGTTTTGATTTTTGGCAGTACTGAGGTTTGAACTTAGGGCCTTGCCCTAATAGGCAGGCTTTGTACCACTTGAGCCATACTCCCAGTCCTTTATGTTTTGATCGTTGTCTGTACCCCTTCTATACTACCCTCGAGAATGTAAGCCCCTGAAGGTAGGCAGGGCTTGGTAAATGTAAATAAGGAATATACTTGGGGTCCTAGCGGGTGGGGTGTGGGGTGGCCTCAAGAATGAGGGCGCCTGAACTGGAAGGAGTCCTCTGTCCTCCCCACTCCGCCTGCCCCGGGCACCAACCCCAAGTAAAAGCACCTGGATAGGTAGGCACATACACTAATCAGGTCCAGGCCTAGGGCAACCCGAGTGGACGAACTTGATCTCAAGAGAGCTGGTGTTTGCCAAACAGGACCGATACACCATTAGGAGCCTCTTTTCCCCCCACCCCCCCTTTTAATGGTGCTGGGGCTTGAACCTGGAAGCTCAAGCATCATAAGGAGCCTCCTGTTGGGCAGGACCATGCTCTGGTTAGGAGCTGGGTGATGAGGTGTGGTCTCCAGTGGGCAGGGCCTGAATGCTGGGCTGGAGCCGAGCTGATGCCCTGCTTTGTCCATCCGCCCCTCCCCGTAGGGCACCTGAGCATGAGGCTGGGTTGGCAGAGGAGGTGGAGCAGCGCTCCCGCAGCTGCCGCCTGCAGTACCAGCGTGCAGGTGTGCGCTTCCTGGTGCCCTTTGCGGCCCACCCTCTGGACGGTGGCCGCCGTCTCACCCACTTGCTTGGCCCTGACTGGCTGCTAGACGTGACCCACCTTGTGGCACCCCACGCCCATGTGCAGGACCCACGTGTGGCCTCACTGGAGGGTGGCCTCATCCTGGTGGGCCGGGAGCCTGGTGTCACCTCCATAGAGGTGAGCTAGCAGGAGATGCTGGAAAGCAGGGCCCCTCCCCACCAGAAGGTTGTGGGTATCCCCAGAATGTTCCTGGGCAGGTGTGAAGCGTGTAGGAGAGGCATAGAGGTAGGAGTACCCTGAGATTGGAGGTTGGGTGAGAATGAGGCGGTCTTATAAAGGGGGAAGTCCTTTAGGTATGGAAGGCTGAGGTTTGGGTGTATGTGGGCCAGGTCTTACAGGAGGAGGGAGCTGTCTCCTAGGTGTGGGATTGGAGTCCAGGTATGTATACTGCATGTAGTTGGGGTGTACAGGGTGGAAAAGAGCAGCCTGAGAGGATGCTGGAAGCAGAATCCAGATCTCTTTGGGTGGGGACCTGTCTGTAGGAGGCCCCCTATCTTCAGCTCCTTCCCACCCTCAGGTGCGTTCCCCGCTGTCTGACTCCATCCTGGGGGAGCAGGCGCTGGCTGTGACGGATGACAAGGTCTCAGTGTTGGAGCTGCGAGTGCAGCCGGTGATGGGCATCTCACTGGCCGTGAGCCGGGGCACTGCCCACCCTGGGGAGGTCACAGCCACATGCTGGGCACAGTCAGCCTTCCCGCCCCAAAGCAGGTGACGGCTGGGGACAGGGGGATGAGGTCAACACCTATCAATGGGGGCTGATGGTAGAAGAGGATGGGAGGAAGAGGGCCCTGGTACCTGGACCCCCTCCTCCCCTTAGGGTTTGCACAGCGATGATTGATTTCTTTGTGAGGTAGTGAGCGCTCTGCAGCTGGAGGTGACCAAGCAGTAGCTGGCTAGAGTGTGGGAGTGGGAGGTTGTTTAGATAGCTCTGAGGATCCTCAGGAAGATTCAGACCCTGGGCTGAGCGGCAGACAGGTGATTGACACACATCCCCTCTCTCCCTGTGTTTTGTCCATCTGCCCGTGTCTCTGTGTTTTCTCTTGATCTCCTCCCCGTGTGGCCTGTCTCTGTGGGAGTGGTCTCTGTGTGCATGCATTCTGCCCTCGCGTGTCTCTGCCTGTGTCCGTGTGCCCCACAGGAAATGACCCTCTCCCTATGGCTGTCCTTCTCTGACCACACCTTGGCCCCTGCGGAGCTCTACGATCGCCATGACCTGGGACTGTCTGTCTCAGCCGAGGAGCCCAGTGCTGTGCTGCCAGCGAGGAGCAGGGTGCCCAGCTCAGGGTTGTGGTGAGTGGAGCTGGTGCCGAGGGGCTACCTCTGCACGTTGCTCTGCACCCACCTGAGCCCTGCCGCCGAGGCCGACACCGTGTGCCCCTGGCCTCTGGCACCGCCTGGCTTGGGGTGCCCCCTTCCCCCACTGGGGCCCCTGCCTTACCATCCAGCCCTGCCTGGAGCCCACTAGCTACAGAGGCCAGTGTGGGAGGTGAGCGGCAGGTGGTGGGCAGTGTAGGGGGCAGCGTGGGTGTGAGGGGCAAATTTGAGCAGGCAGAGGAGGTCGAGAAAGAGGAGACTGAGGCCAGGGAGGATGAGGATGAGGAAGAAGAAGAGATGGTGCCCACCTCAGCGTGTCACTGAGCTAGAGCTGGGCATGTACGCCCTGCTGGGCATCTTCTGTACGGCCATCCTCATCTTCCTGGTCAATGGCGTGGTCTTCGTGCTTCGCTACCAGCGCAAAGAACCTCCTGACAGTGCCGCTGACCCTACCTCCCCCCAACCCCACAACTGGGTCTGGCTGGGCACTGACCAGGAGGAACTGAGCCGCCAGCTGGACCGGCGGTCCCCTGGGCCACCCAAGGGAGACGGGGGTTGCCCCTGTGAAAGCGGGGCAGGAGGAGAGACCCCAAACCTGGCCCCTGGCCCTCCGGGGGGCACCACCAGCTCCACCAGCACCCTGGCCCGCAAGGAGGCTGGGGGACGGCGGAAGCGCGTAGAGTTTGTGACGTTTGCACCAGCGCCTCCAGCCCAGCCCGCAGGGGCCCCTGCAGTGCAGTCCATCCTGGTGGCTGGTGAGGAAGACATCCGCTGGGTGTGTGAGGACATGGGGCTAAAGGACCCCGAGGAGCTTCGTAACTACATGGAGAGGATCCGGGGCAGCTCCTGACCCTCCCCCACCCACACTGACCCAGCATTGTTGGTCATCAGCCTGGGCAGCAGGGGCAGATTGGCGGGGGTCCCACCATGCCTCTTGTCTGCCCCTCCTGCTCATCCTCTGGTGCTTGTTGATCTAAGTCCCCTGCCTGGTCCCCTGCAAGGACTTCCCCTCCCCCAAGACTCCCTCTGCCCTGCCCCTTGCCATGGACCATGGTCATGAGGAAGAGCTTATGCCTGTTATTTATGGGAACCACTTCACTTTAATGTTAGTACAGAATAAACTGAGAAGGAAACTGCCACAGCTGGGCCTGCTTTGCTGTCTGTCTGGTGGAGAGACGCCTGGGGTGGGATGGGAGCAAGGTCAGCCCCTGTCTCTGCTGGAACAGTTTTGGGAGGCTGCATCTTGCCGTGTCCTCTCATAGCGGTGAGCAATCCAGATGAATAGGAAGGCTGTAGTGGCCTGGATGCCAGCCAGCAAGAAGAAGTAGTTGTCCATCTGGCAATTGTTGATGTTCCCTGGGAAAGGGAGTTGACATTCCGATCAGAGGAGTGCTCCCTGTCCCTGCTGCAGCCTGGCCCTAGGCTGGTAGCTGAGGTGATATAGGCAGTGGGTTGGGATCCAAAGACACTAGGTGGAGAGCCCTCAAGGATCTGGTGTCTGCAATTCCTCTATTTATTTGGGGGCTTGAAACAAACACCATGAGAAAAGTGACCACTTGGCCAGAAGGGTGGAATTCTAGAAGCCTGAAGGAGTCTTGGAGAGTCACTGAGTCCAATGCTTCTTTTATGACAGCTGGGGAAACTAAGGTTCCAAGAAGGGAGGCCATACTGTGAGTGACTGGCCAAGTTTGGGTGACAGCCCACTACAGTCTGCCTAGGGTCAAAGCATATAGCAGTCGCCACCCCCTTCCTAAGCCTCCCTCCACTCCGGAAGGCCCCCACACTCACCGAAGTCCTTAGGGCAGTACATCCAGCCACCTGGCAAGGACAGTAGGGCCACCAGGCTGGAACCCAACAGTGAGCCCACCCCTGACAGGCAGAAGAAGATGCCCATAATGGCGCCCTGCATGGAGCGTGGTGCCTCCGAGTAGGCGAACTCCAGACCTGCAGGGAGGGAGCATGGAGTGTCTCCGAGACCAGCTGAGGAGCCACCCAGTGGGCTACACTCCCCAACCTGCCCTCTCCAAGTCTCCATTCTAGCTCCCTTTGTTGACTGTCACAACCCTGCTGCACATCCTCTCAGCTCTGCTCATCTGCCTGGCTGATTCCTCCCCACACACTGCTCAGAGTTCCAACTCTAACCCTCTGAGCCCTTTCTTCCTGAGCTTCCCCCAGCCAGCTCCATCCTCACCCTCTCTCCCCAACCTTCTTGGCCCACTTCCCACATCATCATCAAATCATTTTGATTTAACCTTCAAAATCTCTTCTAAATATATGCCCTCCTCCCTGTTCTTTTCTCCCAGGGCCAAACGCCAGCCCTGGTCACTTCTTCCCCATCCACTGACCGCTAGCCTATTCAGACAGCTGGATGGGTGTGTCTGGACCATCTCTGCCAAACTCTTTGGAGAATGGAAGGGGCTCTGTTGCCCTCAGAGGAAATCCCACCACCCAGGCTCAGCCCACAAGATCCTGTGTGACCTTCTCCCCACCTTGTTCCTCTCCAGCCCTGTCCCCCTCACTCTGCATCTGGCGAGGGACTTTCTAATGCTGTTCACTCTGCCTCAAGTCCTTCCTGCACCTGCTGAATTTTGCCTCCCCTGGAAGCCTTGCTCATTTGCTCCTCCCCACCTTGCCCAAGGATGCTCCACACTCTACAGGTCCCCCTGCAGCACTGCCTGGATTTACTGTGTGCAAGACTATGTTCTCCATAGCCCTGAGTGAGCTCACGGGAGTTCTTTTATCATAAAGACATAAAAATCCCACTCTAGCCTAGTGGAAGAGCCCGCCCAGGCATGCACCTCTATCTCTGCCCAGTTTGGGAAGGAAACAGGCATATAATGCACTAGAACTGTTTAGTGCCATGTGTGGGAAGAGAGGACCTCCTCTGCCCAGGAGCCTTGTCACTGAGGCTCTAAGCTAAGGCAAAGGACATAGCAACTGCAAAACACAGAGGGTGGGGACCACGGCAAGGGAGACATGGAAAGTGAGTGTGGGAAGAACCCCTTCACCTCCATCCCCAGGGTCTACTGTAGGACCTCGCTGAACCAGTTCCCACTGAGAGGTTGCAGCCCTACTCAGAAACCCTGCTTCCCACCATGCTGCAGCCCTGGAGGCTGTGTCCATGGGCCCATGACCTGGAGGCACCACTACGCAGAGCCCAGCCTTGGTACAAGAATAGGGGAGGAGGCTCCAGGGTACCTGGGATGCTGGCAAAAATCTCACTAATCCCGATGAGCAGGTACTGAGGGATCTGCCACCAGATGGACAGTGGGGCCGCATAGTACACATCCTTCCCGATAAGCTGGGACACTGTCTTGTTGGCAGAGATGTACTGTAAGCGCTCCCTCTCCAGGAATCCTGGTGGGGAGGGGAAGAGGTTGAATACAGCCAGGCCCATCTGAGGCAGCTTAGCTCAAGGCAGAGTTTAGTACATGATGGGGGTTATGAAGAAGCCGATGATTGACTGGGCAGCAGCAGGTAAGGAAAAGAATTACTCCAGTGTCTGGAGTATGGTGATCAAGATTTAAATTCCAATTTCTCCCTTTTTGCCTCGGCTGCCAGGATATTCAGCTAGGTTTTATGCTTAGTTGCAACTCTCATTAGTCAAGAGCCTGTAATGACATTCTTGCAAATGAAGAAAGTAAAATTTAGATTGAACAATCAGCCCAGGATTACACACCTAATAAGCAAGCAGTCAGGGCTGGGTCTGAGCCCAGTATATCTGGTTTCAAAACTGGCCTACTTTCCTGATATCACGTGACTTCTCTATGGCAACATCAAGTAGTGTAGCAGTGTTTCCAACCTGCCTTTCAAGTTTATTTTACCTGTTCCTTTCATTGCTTGGAAGATAGCATTGCTCTCTAATAAATGCTGGACAATGAGGTAGAGGACTTAGGTTACAATCCTGCCCCTACCACTGGCTTGCTGTATGACCTTGGGCAAATCATTTCACTTCTCTGAGAAGTTCCTTTACGTAAAAAGTAGAAGTACAATTCCCAGGGTTATTATGAGGATGAAATAAAAGAAAATGCATTAAAGCATGTAACTGAAAGAGAATCTAGTTTGATTCTCACACATTGGACAAAACACTACTCACTGGGCTTTAGTCAACTCTTAGTTGTGATCCAGGCACATTACGGGGTCCTCTACAGACTTCATCTCCTTTAATGCTCACAACAGTCCCCTTGAGACGATGCTGCATGAGGGCTGAGCCTGACCACCTTCAGTGTCTGAATGAATTACTATCCCTGCAGTAAAGACATAGCTGGGAGACCTGAAGTAAACTCAGGATCACAGAACCACTAATGAAAAGGGCTCAGGTTTATGCAACAGCATGAAAGCCTTCCATAGCTGATCCCTATTTTATACAAATGGCTTCAAATCCTTTTGAAATGGAAGAAACAAGAGAATCTTTTAAAAAGTCCTCATTTACCACCACAATGGTTGTGCTTCTTTGGGAAATGTATCCTAACTCATTGACTGAGGGTTCACGTACATATATTCACAGCAGCGAAGAAAAAAGAAAAAAACTCCCTGCCTGTAAGGAGCTTCTGTCCCACTGAGGAAACTATCTGTTCCTCTTGGCCTGAGTTTCCTCATCTGTCAAAACAAAGGGAGGCTGGATTCCACAAGGAAGGTTTCCTTCAGCTTGCACCTTCTGAGAGGCGAAGGGTGACATCTACTCGTCTGGGGTGCACTTGGACTGTGCCAGACTTCAGCACCTGCCTATAGTAGGGTCAGCCTCCCCAACCCCAGACAGACAAAGGCCAGTTCTTGGCCTCATGCCCCTTCACGCACCTGCCACAATGACTGAGGTAAAACCAAAGAACATCCCCAGGGCCATCTTCTGAAGAGCCGAGGGCAGCAGCTTGCACCGCAGCAGCAAAGGGTCGATCAAGTGGTCCTTCACAGGGACCAGAATCAACACAACCACTACATTGGCGAGGAGGAGCCAGGCTTCTGGGATCTGGGTAGGAGGGAGTGAAGAGAGGCAGGCTAGCAAAATGGAAGGAGCTCTAGGCTGAAGTTGCAACACCTGGACTCCAGAATGTCCCTGAGTGACCCAGGGGCAGCCCCCTCTCCTCTCTGGAACTCACACTCCTCAGCTGTGTAACTAGGGGATGGGATTAGAGCAGGGATGTGAACAGGTTCTTCTTGTATTCTAACTTCTATCAATTGGTAGCAATGGCTTAGAACATTTGTGAGCTCAGCATGGAAACATGTAGATTGGTTAGTGATGTCTGCCGTGGGCAAGGAAAGACAGTAGAGTGGCATATATGTCATTTATCTGCCAGGTCTGAAGAGATTTAATTTTACAGTCTGTGCAGGCAGCTTTTTTTTTTTTTTATGGTGCTGGTGGAGTTCAAACTCAGGGCCTTGTGCTTGCTAGGCAGACACTCTACCACTTGAGTCATGCCCCCAGCCTATGCATCTCTGCAATGCCAAGGAACTAAGTTTAGAAAGTTCTGGTGGAAATCAGGGTTCCAGGAAAGAGGGAACAAGGTACAATTGAACAGGGGCCTTAGTATGCTCTGGCTGAGGGTGCAAACTGGTCAGTGGGGCCCACTACAGAGCAGCGGCATGGGAGAGGCCTGGCCTGAGTTCTTATGAGCAGTTGAGCATCTTGGCAAAGTGCCTGGGTTGTGGCACACATTTGCCCACCCTCCAGGTACTGCTCTTGTATCCTGAGGGTTCCCTGCAGCTGGGGAGTGTGAAGGTGTCTTCAATTCCTCCTCCTCGCCCAATCCCGGAGCTGAGCTTCTGCTTTGTTTCTCACCCTGTAGTTGCTGCCCTGGGCTCTCAAAGCTGAGGACCTGTTGGTAGGGTTGGCCGGGAAGATGTTTGGGATGTGGAGGTGGAGACCTTGCAGGACATAGGTGGACTGCATCTGCAGAGAGAGACGGAAGTGGCTGGTAGAACAGGCTCCTGGCCTCCTCCCCGGGAGGCTCCAGGCTCCTCAGCAGCAGCCCAGGGAGACTGGCACCTCCTCCAGTCAAGGGAAGTCACCCCCGCTCCTTGAGAGCCAGCCTTTGCAAGCCTCCTCTGCCCTACTCTCAGTCTTATCCCAGAGCCTGGGCTCAGCTGATCTGCCTTGGATTTCTGTCTCCAGTGCCTCATAACAGAATGGGGGTGGATAAATGTTTGTTGACATGGGAAAGATAATGACAGGCCTGTGACCATAGGGAGTTCTCATCTGACACTGAAGCCAAGCTGAATCCCATAGGCTGACACAGCCAGGAACTGCATAGGCACTGACCTGCCAGAGTGGCTCTGGGCACAGCTGCAGGAGTGGGGCCTGGGTACCCTGCCACCCACCATACCAGGCATTGCCTCTTTTATTGCCCGATAACGGAGGATCCAGAAAACTCCCACAGGAGGGCCTATGGTAGGGGAGCGTTCTGTGGTCATTCATGGCTGTATGGAAGGACATCAGTGTTTGACAGCTGGATGACTAAGAGTTGGCCACAGACATCAACTCCTTGTCCCTAGCTCATCAGGGATCTTACTGTGCTACTCTGGAGTTCCAGGCTGGCCCTGCATGACCCTAGCTGTTCCAACCAAGTTGGAGGGTATGGGAGGCAATGCCTATGGCCTGGGGGTTAGGCCCAGGTTAGACCGCTGTCCCTACTCCATATGCACACATGTATGCACACTTGCAAGCATGCACATGCAAATCGTACAAACACTCGCACAGGCACATGCACACACATGTATGCACACAAACACACAGGTATGCATGCACCACACACAAATAGCTGCTCACATGTGTGCATACACAGATGCTTACATGCATGTGTCTACACATGCACACACACAAACATGCTGCAAACACATGCACTGACAACCTCCCCCCCAAGGAAGCAGTAGCTCATCATCTGAGACATTTTTAAATGCAACGATTTCCCCAGCGATTCTGAGGCCTGGGGTGGGGCAAGGGAATCTACATCTTTTTAAATCTCTGCAGGTGATTCTGAGGCACAGCCAGGTAGGGAAGCATTGTTGCAATGTGCTCAATGCACCAAATCTGCCACCAACGTGCTGTGGGGCCATGGGCCTCTCCTGCCAACTCAGATCTGCACACTATAGAACTGGAGGAGTCTCTGGTTTGAGCCACCCATTGCACACCTGAGGAAACTGAGGCCCAGAGAGGCGAGGGTCCTATCAAGGAGCTGGGCCACAGACTCTTCTCCAGAGTTACTCCTGCAGTCACCAGGGGCTGATCACAGGATTGGCGTTGTGCCAGGCCCACATCAGCTGGTGCACAGTGGTAACTCACTCTGCTCCTGCCTTTCTGCATGCCCTTGGCTTCCAGGACGAGAACTGAAACCAGTGAAGGGTGGAGAGCAAGGCCCTCAGAACAAAAGGCAGAGGTGCCCACCTGGAAATACACCATCCAATAGGGCACTAGGGTCACCATGACGGGCAAGATCTTCACCAGCACCTGGAAGTTGGCAACGTCCTCCTGAGGGGAAGGACCAGGCTGGGGAGACCTCTGGTCAGGCAGTAGGTGGGCACCTTGAGGGTCTCTGTGGGGCCACAAGGACAGGAGATAAAAGGCAGCCATCATCATCTCCTCACCATGGCCACTGTTTTCACCTGTACCATTATTCCCTAAGATCACCACTTATCACAGCCACTGTCTCTGAAGTCACCCTGTCACTCCTCACTCCACTGTGCACACCACCAGCCCCACTAGCACCAAGGCCATCATCCTTCCTGTCATTAGAACTAGTAAGTGATGCATCATCAACACTGTCACCAACACCATCCTCTCCACAGAGGTTTGGTTTCTCTCTCCATCACTTTTTCTAGTGTTGGCACTGCCATTGTCAATATTATCACTACCATCTCCTAATCAGACTTAGGCCACTTTAGCGCTGTGGTCCCTTTGGGTCCCGTGGAAAGTCAGACCAGAGACTGGTGAGCAGAGTCTTCAGGAGTTTTTGGCTCATGGCATTGATTTTCCACTAGAATCAGAGGAGGCCCAGTCCGAGCCACAGAGGCTGCTCACCCCAAGTCCATCCTCAATGGACTTCACAACCCTCTCCCTGCACAAGGAGGTGGGGAGAAGAGGAACAGGATGGAGGGACTGTCATTAGGAGTCAGGATAGATCAACTACCACAAACAATCTTTACCCTTTGTCCTCAGAGTTTCTGAGGACATGCGAGACTCCAAAAAGGGACATCATCAGTGTGGTCATCTCCAAAGACACCTGTACCAACTCCTCCCCTCCAAATATATAATGCCATCCTCCACCAGTGCTGAGGTTTCTTTCTCCTGCCATTGATTTGAGGCCAGCCTTGTGACACTGACCAACAAAGTGAGGGTGAAGCAATGCTCTGGGATGTCCAGGCCGCTCAAGGGCCTGAGGAAGACCCATAGCTTCCACTTCCTGCCCTCTGGAACATTTGTTCTTGGAATGCTCCCACGAAGGGGAAATGAGGTTCTTGTCAACCGAGGTTCTCTTAGCCCATCACCAGCTTCCAGCCATGTATGTGAGATGTTCTAGTCCTTTCAAGCTCCCAAATAATGGCAGCCCTGGTGACATCAGGAGTAGCAGAAGACCTGCTCACCCAGCCCAGTCACCCACAGACTTAGAGAGGAGAGAAATGTTTGCTTTTTAAGACAAACTTTTTTTTAAGGCAGCAACAAAAATTAAAACAACCAGACTCCTTGACACCTGACAACCACCCCTGACATTACCTCTAGCAATACACCAGGTTGGGGGAAGCCTGCTCTTCACCTTTTCCATCTAGATTCTATTAATTAGAGCTCCAAGGTCTGGAGTCAGATTTGCTTAGCATAAGTAGTCAATTAAAGTAGGAAGGAGGACAAAAGGAAGCCACTGTGCATATGGAAGGCCATTCAGAATCTTCCCCCTACACAAACACACCTGGATGTCAGTTAATGGAAGAGGGAGCAAGGCTGGATGATTTCTTAAGACTCTTTATACTTAATAACAGGACACTGGAGAATTATTCATATTGTATCCTGATGACCTTCATTGGTGCCATCATCTCCATCATTATCGCCTCCACTATAATTGTCATCATAACCGGGGTTTATCATCATCACAGGTAGTAACACATCGTTCCCACCTGTTTCGCTGCTATCACTGCCAAGACCATAACCATCCTCATTGTTTCTACAGTTAGAGAATCACCAATAACACCACTGGCACCACTGTGACCTTCACCAGCATCCTCAGTCATAGTGAGCAGCCCACTGGAAGACAGCCATTGCTCCAGCGGCTCCAGGGCAGTTGCTGGAGCTGAACCAGAATGTCTACAAGTAGGACTAACCCTCCCAGGAGACTTAGCAGCCTCCTTAACCCAAAGCCCCCCCTTACCTGGCAGAATGTCGTTGCCACAGCCGAGGGCAGCAGTTTTGGAAAGCAAGCTTAAGCATTGAGGACACTTGGCTGCCCATGGGTGGCTTGGTGATGAAGACAGGGGTGGCAAAGAGGAAGATGAAGAATGCCAGGCCCACACAGCCCACGATGATACTGTAGCCCAGCAGGAAGTTGACGTTCTGCTGGATGAAGGCCACCACCAGCAGTGACAGCACAGCACCCAGGTTGATGCTCCAATAGAACCAGTTGAAGAAGCGGCGCGTGGCATCGCGGCCAAGATCCATCACCTGCCAGCCAGCCAGGGGTGAGAGTGAGGCCCAGGAGCACTCTGGACCTGTACTCATCCCTCCCACAGGGACACTTCTTGGGTCAGTGGGTGGGCACTTCTCTAATCGCTAATCACTAAATAAATGATCAATAAATATTGGTTGGATGAATGAATAAACCTTTCTCCTGGGAGCCGCTGTTAATGATCAGAACATTTTGGCACACCTGTTTTTACGTGCTCATGACACACATTACTTTTTTATTGTCACCAAGTAGGGCACACAACAGATGCCTGTGAGGCCATGCGGCTCACTTCTGGCTGATTTAATCTCTTTGTCTTCGACTGAGCAGCCTACACTATACATTACTTTTATAATCAGCAAAAAGCCCATAAAAATCTCAATTATGTTCCACACTATTAAATATGATCTATGCATACGACTGAAAGAACAGTTAGAAGTCTGGTTGAGAATTTCCTTTTCAGTGCGGAGATGCAAACAGAATATTGTATCATGGCCCGTCCTTTCCCCAAACTTGCCTTCCTCTGCTATATTCCTGATCAAACAAGGCTGGAAGCATCAGGAAAGGTAGAGGGGAACCTGAGAGCAGACCCTGACCTCGTGGAAAAAAATTTTTTTCAAGGGCATATAGACTGAAAATCTTTTCCCAGGATTTGGGTCAACCTATAAGAGTCAGGTCTCAAGCTTTTTTTCGCCTGCTGGCCATAAATCAGCTGCGTTGGCTGTTTCCCTTCCCCAGGTCTGGGACAGGGCCCAAGCATCTGCATTTCTTAAGAGCAATGAGAACTGGGGGTCATTTCTTGAGTTAAATGAATCTCTACCTCATTCAGCCAGCCACATTTTCAGTAACTCCCCAAATCTCAAAATGCCTTTATTGCCTTTCTGTCCTTTCACTCAAAGATATATATTCCCACTTGCTACAAAGATTTGGTCAAGCTTTCCTTTCTGTTGTTGTGTTGGGGAAAAGCTTAAAATATTTCACTCCTTGTCTAGAGGTAGACTAATCATCCATACAGATGTGCTTACAATTTCATTCCCTTGGTGATGGAGAAGGAGGGGGCATGTCACCTCACTCACTAAGAATCCTTGCTCTGGACTTTCAAGCAGAAAATTGGATAAGTCCCATTATGAACAGCCACTTCCATTTATTAATTGCAAGTAAATGAATATGACAATTGTAACTCTAAGGGGAAGACCAGGCAGCCCATTCAGGATATAAATGAGTTCTTCTAGACACTTTGTTGAGAGTGATGGATGGCCCTTTATGAAATCAGCAAGTGTGTAAAACACTGGGTAGGGCTGTCTGCCAGATGGTGCCAGCCTGTCCACTGCGGCAGCCTCCCCCGTGCTCTGGTGCACCCTCTCTTGTTAGCTCATCAGTCTCTACGCTGCAGTGAGCCATTTTCAAAGAACTGAAATCCAGTGATGTCAGCATTTCCACACCATCCTAGGGCTCAGATCTTGAGTTCTTAAGACAGCCTTCCAGTCCAGCCCTGCTCTGCCCAAAGTAAATGGGGAATGCAGAGGAGGGACTGTCCCTGTGGATCCCATGGAGGCTCTTCTCAGTGACCTGGCCTTGGGGAGACTAGTTCTCTCACCAGGAGGAAGGAGAGACAGGGGGCACTGGATTGCTGCCTTTGGAGGTCATGGGGTCAAGGGCACAGGTCAAGGCAGTTGGAAGTGGTTGGGTAGTGGAAGGTCAATAAAAAAGTAGTGTTAAAGGAAGATGGAAGATTCCTTTTGGCAAATATTGGAGATCTGCTGGTCAATGCCAGGCGGAAGAGGAAAAGGGCTGTCCTGAGGGTACCAAGTCCCCCATTACCAAAAGAATCTAAGCAGGTTGGATAAGCGACTCCTTGGCAGGGACACTGGACACTGTGATGCGTACTGGATTGTGAATGCCAGCTGGATGAAGTGATTCATTCAAAAAATGTCGCCTTTATGAATGCAATATATGCAATTAACATTTGAAAAACAAAGTCGGATGGGGGGTACATAATTAGCCCAGTGTTTCCTGTTCCCCCTCTCCCATTTGAAACCTCATCTTTCCACAAGGCTGCTCAATGGTCTGTATGCAGTTCTACATCCTGCTTTGTGCTCATTCATACTGCTTGAGGTTGCTTTAAAAATATAGTACATTAGCTTCAATTATTGTGTAATATCCCACGGTGTACAGCTGTCAAACCATGCCATGTTATTAGGAATTTGCTCATTCATTTAGCAAATGTTTGTTGAACTTTTCCCACGTGCCACACTCTGTCCAATGGGACTGGAGAAAGGCTCAGAGGTGGACATACATGCTCAGCTGTCCCCACTGGTGAGAGATAAGGCCCAGATTTGAACAAATCCACCCTCAGCATCTGGTGCTGCTGGTAGAAGAGACTGGCTGGGATCGTTATGAGGGTCGAGTTAAAAGTGAAAATGTTTGGCATGGGCCTGGGACATGGCTCAGAGAAGGCCCACTGTGGTTATTCATACTGTCGGTGTCATTGATCTTGGTAGGGCTAGTAGCCCTTCTTCTTTCAAATAAAGAAACTGGAGAGGGAAGTGGTTTATCCGAGGTCACGCTGGGGGCCACTGCCTCCTGACTCTGGCTGGGTCTCCATCCTACCTTGCTTTGCTTTCTCTCCACTCCCCCTGGGTCACCGTTGGGCCAGACCTCCCTGCCACACTCACCTGATCGGCCCCAAAAGAGGTGAGGTTGCTCCTCACCGAGCTGGCGGCCAGCGCGAGGAGTAGCAGGCCTACATAGAGGGTGGGCGCGCAGTAGGGGCTGGCCCAGGTGTGCTGGCAGTCGGAAGACGGGCAGGGTGGCTCCAGAGGCGACTCAGGCATCTCGCCGCAGAAAGAGCGGCGGCCATCGGGGAAGGAGGTGGCGAGCAGCAGGCCGGAGGCGGCCAGGTAGAGTACTAGGCTGATCGCGATGGCGCGGTAGCGGCCCAGGTACACGTCTGCCAGCCAGCCGCCCACGGGCGCCAGCAGGTAGGAGGCGCCCAGGAAGACGAGCGCGGCGCGCGACGCTGCTCGCCGGCCCAGTTGAAATTCAAGCTGTTGAGGTAGAGCACGAGGTTGGCGGCGACGCCGAAGAAGGCGGCGCGCTCCAGCATCTCCACCACCAGCACCGCTGCACCCGCCGTCCGCCGCCACGCTCGGGGGCCCCGCGCGCCGCGCGCCAGCAGTGGCCGCCGCTCGCCACCCCTCCGGGGCTGCTCCGGGGCGCGCGGCGCGGGCATCGTAGGCTGCCCTGCCTCAGCCTAGCCCTAGTGGCCCTCTTCCGCCCTACTCCGCCCTCTACCTCTGCCCTGGCCTCGCCCTCCCCTTCTTAACTCTTCCCCAGTCTGACTCGACTCTCCTTTCTCACCCTTTTGCGCCCTCTTCTCCCCTGTCCCCTCTCACTTTCCTTTTCTGCCCCTTACCCTGCCTCCTCCACCCTAATTTTAACTCCTTCCTCTTCCCTCCTTCCACCCGTATCCCTTCCTCCCTGTTTGTCCCCCTCCCCAGTGTTTCTCCCCAGCCTCTCCGCTCTCCTTCCTCCACCCTGACCCTGGGGTCCCACTCTTGTCTGTCACTTGCACAGTCTTCCTCGCTCCACTTCTCTGCCCCTCCCCCTCTTTTCCTTCTTTGGCTGCCCTTTTTTCACCGTTGTCCCCTTCCTTATGACACCTGGGCTGCACTGGCCCCCTACCAGCCCTGCTGTTCGGTTCCCAGGCTGCGTCCCCTCCCCTCACAGTCCCCACCGACTCTCCCTCCCAACTCAGCCTCTGTCCCTCTCCCTGCTTCTTGAGAAACCCCGGGCTTCCCCTTTCACTGGCCCTGTGGCTGCCTGAATCACATGATATTTAGGAGAAATGAAAGCCTCAGTCACAGGGCTCCTCCCCACCCAGCTTTCTAAAAATCTTCCCCCCCACCCCCCACACCACCACCACCACTACCACCATCACCACTACCTATCATCCACCACCTCCGCCAGCCTCCCCAGAGCCTGGAGGAATAATTTCTTTCAGTTTCATTTCTCCCCAGAATCCCACATTTGCTCTTCCAATCAGAATCCAAGCCTAGACCACAGACTTCCAAAGGCCAAACAGCATTTGGCAGCACTGGCTCACTTCATAGATACAAAGACTGAGCCCCAGTAGGAAGCAAGGGAGGGAGGTAGGAGCTGACTAGATGCTGGTAACTGAAGGGGAGAAACCACAGCCAGGATTCCTGAGTGTCAGGGGAAGCGCCTCACAATGCAATTCAGATTGTGCAAACACTGCTGAGGAAGGAAGTGGGGCACCCTCAAGACTTATGGCATTATATGGGACCACAGCACGTGGAGATTGAGAGGGGCACTGACCTCAGGCTCAATCACAGTCACTCAGAACCTTCTGATGCACTGAGAACAAGCGCCAATGTCACCTAGACTGCCCAGCGGGATCTGGCCCTGCCCTCCTCTGAGGTCATCTCTGCCCAATGTCACAGATTCCAGGCTTCCTTCTATTCCCCTCCTAGGCTGAGCCCCTTCCTGCCTCAGGGCCTTTGTGCTGTTCCCTCTCCAGAAAGCTTCTTTCTGCAGACCTTTGTATGGCTGGTTTTGGCTGAAAGGTCTCTTTTTCCTAGGGACCTTCCACTGAATTCTCAATATCCTCTCTAACGAAGTGCTCTGTTTTTGCTGTTGTTTTATTGTTTTTTGAGACAGGGTCTCACTTTGTAGCCCCAGCTAGTCTGGAACTTGCAATATAGCCCAGGCACACACCACTGTGCCTGGCCACATGTCCTATCTTAATGTCTTTTGAGCACAATTACAGTTTATTGTTTCCCCCATAGAATAGACTCTCTACTGAATAAAACACTTTGTCAGACATTTTCTGATTCAGTGACCTCCTTGTGCTTGGCAAATAGCAGCTGCTCAGTAAGTATTCATTGAATACATGAATGGAAGTGAAGAGTGTTCCAAGGCTTGATTTGTAAGAATAACATCAGGAAAGCTAAAAGCTTAAATAAACCGAGTTTTTCCAAAAGAATTTTTTTTGTTGTTTTGGAGTTCTGTTTGTGTGTTTGTTTTTGCATCTCGTATTGAGTAAGAAGCCCAGCTGTGGTGGATGGGATAAATCCATAAAGGTATGAGGCTGGGTATGATGATAAGAAAGCAGGGCTCTCCACAAGATTCTGCTTGTCACTATAGCCAGGAGCAATGTGCTTTGGAGGCAGGTAGAGATTGAGGGACAGATGGAGATGCTTCAAGTGAGCTGCCTCTGCTTCTCTTGGAGGAAGTTCTCACCCGTCGTCACCAGGTGTGGTAATGAAAGGCAGGTCACATCAAAGCCAGCTCCTTCCCCTCTTGGTAAAGTCACTAGTCTGGCAGAGGTGACAAATGGCATTCTACAGGACTGAGCCTTATAAATAATAATGATGATTTGCCATCAGTGATCTTCAGAGAGCAATGGATAAAGAGCAAGATTTCTCTTCTGCAGAGAGAAACTAGAAGAAGAAAGCAGCAAAGGAAAGTGTGGAGGTGAGGTGTGGAGGCACATGCCTGTAATCACAGCACTTAGGAGGCTGAGGCAGGAGGATGAAGAGTTGGAGGCCAGTCTGGGCTACACAGTGAGAGACCCTGTCAGAGAGGGGGAGGGGGAGGAAAGGGGAAAGGGGAACTGGCATGAGGCAGTTTCTTCCTTTCTGCCCAGCCTCCACCAGTGACGTAGGCAGGGACAGGTACTGCTGTGGCACACTGGGGAAATACATGGGGACATGATGAGCTGGAAAGAAGGAAGGGGTGATTTGCATCTTACACAGATGGGAAGTATTGTTCTGAAAGGAGACTAATTGTCAGTCAGGACACAAGTTACAACACTGAATTTAGAACCAGAGCTGGTGGCTGCAGTTGTGACCCATAAACCTATGTGGTTTGGTCCAGATAGAGTTTTGTCATGTGGTATCAAGATTTTACTTTTTTTTCTTTTGTTACTGCTTTTTTAAAATTTAAATTTAAATTAGTTACCGCCTTAAAAATTAAAAAAAAAAATTTTGCATAGAAATCCAGACCTTTGGCTACTAGAACTTGCAGAGAGTCTGGCAATGCTGGGCCTGCTCAACAGACAGCGGAGTGGCAGCTGCCCCATGGACGGCAGTGACTGGTGACATGCTAAAGTGCACTGTGGGGCCTTGGTTGAAGGCTGGTGAAAATGACCTTTTCGCCTATGTATGTAGCTACAGTGACTGTTGAAGGTGAGGAGCAGAAAGGCCAGTTGCTGAGGGATCACCCTGAGGTGGGTGTGGATTCTCTAGTCTCCTGGTTCCTCTTTATAACACTTTGCCAGGCCAGGGTGAGAGTTTCCAGGCAGTTTTTTCCTTTCCTTTCCTTTCCTTTTATTTTGGTAACACCCAGGGCTGCCCTGCTGCTTCTCCCATGGGTGAGATAGTCACAGGTAAGCATCAACTGTGCACCGCCTCATTGCAACTAGGATGGCTAGGATGTGGTCTAGCAGTGGGCAAGTTTCTCTCAGATCTGTCACATGCAACTGGGACTTCTCTTAGACCTAGCTAACCTACTCCCTGTACCTGGGGGGAGATCCTGGCCTGGAGAATAGATGGAAAGGGAAAACATTGAGCCACACAAATGAAAGCATCATAGCCATGGTACAAGGAGGGACAGGGAAGGACATCCATCTACAGAAGATTCTTACACTGGTGTGGTCCATCCCAACACCTTGCTCACACCAGCAGTGGTCCATCCCAACACCCTGCTTATGCCAGGTATGCTGATCCAAGCCCCTGCTTATGGCAGGGGCAGTCAGTGCCAACACGCCCTGCTGTGTAGCAGGTGCATCAGGAGTTGCACTTTACCTGCAGTCTCACGGTCCATACAGCCACAGCTGAGGATGGGACACAGACTGTGGACCGGCCTGTGGAAGATGGTGGTAGAGGATGAATCCCCATAGTGCTTTCCCCATCCCTTTAGCAGGCAGGAGTGAGACTAGCCACAAATCGGGAGGAAGCAGGGCAACACCATTTTACCAGCTGCCTTAGCTTTCCATAACTGTGACAAGATACCAAGATAAGCCAATTTAAGGAAGAAAGGTTTACACAGTTTCAGCCATTTCAGTCCAGATTGCTTGGCCCCATTGCATTTGGGCCTGTGGTGGCGTAGGACATCATGGTGGGGAGTGGAACAAGGTATTTACTTCATGAAAGCTGAGAAGCAAGGCGACAAACAGGAAAGGAAGAGTCCCAATATCCTTTTCAAGATCTCTTCCCCAATTAACTTACTTAGTTCCAGTAGGTTCCACTTTTTGGGGGAAGGGGAAGGTGCTACTGGGATTTGAACTCAGAGTCTTACTCTTGATAGTCAGGCACGCTACTGCATGAGCCATTCCACCAGACCTTTTTGCTCTAGTTATTTATTTATTTATTGGCGGGTCCGGGGTTTGAACTCAAGGGCTTCATGCTTGCTAGGCCGGCACTCTATCACGTGAGCCACTCTGCTAGCACTTTTTTTATGTGTGTTGGGTATTTTTCGAGATAGGGTCTCATGAACTGCTTGCTTGGACTGGCTTCGAACTACAGTCCTCCTGATCTCCGCCTCCTGAGTAGCTAGGAGAATAGATGTGAACCTCCAGTGTTCAGCAGGCCCCACTTCTTAAAGGTTCCATCGCCTCCCAATAGCTCCAAGTCTACAACACATGGTCAGACTACGCAGAGCACGTCACATTGAGGCAGCCAGGGCTGGGGGTGTGGCTCTTGTCCAGCAAGTGGGAGGTCCTGAGTTCAAACCCTAGTACCCCCATAAAAAATGGGCAGGGGGAGAGGCCCACATTAAGGCAACCAGCATTCCCTGGCTGGATCACATGGCAGTAGTACCTTTCCACTCATGTTCAGTCCTAGGCCAATATGCTGGAACGCTTGCAAATTCCCTCCTTTGTCCAACCTTGAAGGCCTGCCAGGACTAACCCTCCCACACCAATTCCCAAGCTTCATCATTTGTAGCCCTTTACTTTTATTTATTCATTTATTTATTTATGGTGGCACTGAGGTTTGAACTACAGTCCTCACTCTTGCTTAGGCAGGCGCTCTTCTACTTGAACCACTCTGCCAGCCCTCTTGCAACTCCTGCCCCACTCTGCTTTTTGCTCACCTTCACACAAGCTATTCCTCCAGCCTAGAACTTTCCATGACTCACTAATATTGGTTCCTCAGGACTTGAAACAGATGTCACCTGTTCCGATAAGTCTCCCCTAGGAGGTTGGGTTGCCCCTGTGGTTATTCATGTCATAACTGCTTGTATGTGCCTGTTTCTTCAGTGGACTAGAGGCTTGTGGAGAACAGGGGTTGCATTTTCTTCATTTCTGTGCTTTGACATCTGGCCTCATGCCTGGTACATAGTAGATACATCCTCTTCAAGAGGGTAAACTGTGGAGTTGAACCACCTGGAAAAGTCACTATTTGGATGTCTAAAGAGTTTACCTAATCTCGTCCTTTCCTTTGCCTTAGAAATGGAGA